AAGATTTTTTTTTGCGTCTTACTGTAAAGCAAGTACCGATTCAATGACGCCGAGTGTGTTGGATGAGTCAGGGGTCTAGGATCTCGGAATTTAGACGGGGTGAAGGTCATCACACGTGCATGTAACTTTGCCACAGGTGCTAACATTCTACAGACATTTCATTAATGTACTGACTGTACATGTAATGTACATGTACATTCTATGAATGTACAGTGCACTTGTGCAAAAAAATAAAGAAATCAATGAAATAAACAATACTACTACCGATAATAAAACAGTTCTTATTAAGTGCATAATACTACAAAGTACTGCATCTATGTGCTGTATTATCATTTTCCCTGCACACTGGGTTAACAACTGAAGATTCCTGAAACCATCTCAGCTTCCTGGGGAGCATACACATACATGTGCATGACTAGCCTGATGCTGCCATATCAGGAGCAAACAGCTAAACCTAACCGTGTCTGACCTCACAGGTACCCATTTACTCCTGAGTGGAGAGAGGCAGGCAGGGGTAAAGTGGCTGGCCCAAGATCACAACATGCTGTCACCAGTTGGATTCGAACCCCTGACTCTGAGAAGCTACAAACCCTAACCATGAGGCCACACGCCCCCAAGAAATATAGAAAGCAAGCAAAGTTGCCCTTACGTACAAGTACATGTACATGCTATGACAAGTTTTATGTTAACAGATCTGCAGAGAGCCTTTTTAAAACTTTCAAGTTGCAGATACATACTGTACACTGCACAAGTTGAAGTTAACAGAACTCAGAACAATTTGTTGGAATCCAATCTATATTACCGGTACATGTACTTTTTTTTGACTGGGTGTGTAGCTAGACTAATAGGCATTATGAAATGAAAGGCTTGAGCTGCATTGAAGGAGCCATTATTCTGGTTAGTAAATCCCCAGACAAAAAGGTAGAAACCTGAGCAGCATTTAAAGGATTAACCAAGCAAAATACAGCTTCACTGACTCCAGGAATAAACCACAACACCGTAAGAAGAATAGGCAAGGCAATGCACTTTCCTTGCAACTCCTTTGCCTCCATGCAACAGATCAATTGACTCAGCCCAAGAGATTCTTAATAAATCCAAACTTGAATAAGATCAGTCCTGGAGCTCTTACACGAATGAAGCTATGGGATGGCAAGTAAAAGTAACCCAAGCAATTTGCAGTGCTTGTTTGTTTGTAGCATCAAAATAAGTACGAGAAGTCGCCTTGAAAAGATTTCCGATTTAGATACGCAGTGTGTTCTAGTATGCCAGACTACCACAAATTTGCAGTTCCACATTGGGCTAGTTCGATTAAGGACCACTAGTTAACTATTGGTTGGTTCATGACGTACATGTATCTAGCTCAGGTGCAGTGAAGTTGAAGTGCAAACAAACAAAGTCAAAGTCAGGTCATTAGGACGAAGGAGAGAAAAGGTGGCCACAGGAAGAGTAAAGTATCAAAAATTAAAGTGAAAATGGTCGTTGACTACGTAACATTTTTCCAGCACTTTTCTTATAACTGATCCTCTCTGCACTGTGCTATTGAAAACAGTTTATGGCAACCAACAATGCGACCAACCTCAGTAGGCTGGTACCAGTAGCTGACTAGACTAGTCCAGGCATCAGTGACTAGCGTGCATTCGATCAGAGTTAGTCGAACTACGGTTAACTACATGTATGGTCCTTGATTGAACTTGTCTCAGGTACCTAGTGTGAGCTAAAGAGGTCCACATAAAACAGGTTGTGTGCACCTTGTGTGGACTAAGCACCACTAAGGTCCATGCAAAGTTACCCCCCTAATGGAAAACAGCTTTAGAGACACTTGGGTTAGGGTTATCTATCGCAAAATGAAAAAGATTCATCAAGGAAACCATTAATGGTATTCACAGTTCAAGAAAATGAATCTTTTCACTGAGGTTTCTCAACTACATTGACAGGAATGTCCACACTAGGTCTGTAAAGTAAACGTGTATGTGTCAACATGTGTACACATGTACCTACATACAAATTAAATGTATGTAAAAAGACCCCCTCTCATACCTTTCTGGTTGGATGGAGAGACCTCAGTACACTACTATACCCGTGGGAGACAAGAAAGGTGGAATCTTATTCCTGGGTCAAGATTCGAACTATTCCCTTGATAGACACTAAAAAGTGGTTTATAGTGAGGACAGTTCAGCTCTGATGCATTTCAGGGCAATAATTTTCCATGCATGCAAATCTCAATCTCAATTATTTCTGCACAATGTACAATTACTCACAAGAGCCAGGTCTGTCATCGAGGGGGGACCAAAGGTCCTCCCCCCCAAGCAGCTGCCCCTCCCACCATCAGCAGAAACCACAAGCATGAAAATAATCTTTTGTTCCACCTCCCAAAGCCCAAAGCCCAAAGCTGGCGACAGTGCTGACAAAGGCAAATGCTGACCCCTGGGCAAGCAATTGATTAATTATCGATCAATGGGTTAGCCTGATGCATTCCACGCAATCCGGAATGGTACAATCATGGTATTGAGAACACTGCTGGCAACATCAGAGTATAATATATATTACAATATATATTTATATATTTGGAGTGCGTAAGTGATGCAACAATGTTGGTGATGCGGAAGGGGTTGCTGGTGTGCACAGTTTAAAGAATGTGGGGGGTTGAGCAATAATAATCAACCTTGCGCAAATAACACAGACATTTTTACAGAGGTACCGGTACCACTAGATGTATATAATAAATTCCAATTTTCCATCAATCATGGAAATGAAACATTTCATTTCTAAATGTTCTCACAGCACCATAAAATGATTAAAAACTGTGATTTACAAACTACTGCTGCAGTTCTAAGCAAGGCAGTGTTCTGAATGACGGGGTGCAAAATGGAATTTTTAGGGAATGGAAAAGGATTGGCAACCTGCTACAAAGCGACACACGAGAGGAACGAAAAGTTACAAAAAAAAAGAAACTAAAAATATTAATTTTGATAAAAACCGTCCTCATTCAGCACCACGCTGAGACACAAACTTTGCCAAAAGGACAGCCAGGGTCCTGTTGGCCAGAATTTCTGGTTGATCGATTTTGTTTGCCTTGCCCTGCCCCTAGGTCTTTGACCCTAATATTTGAGGAGATCTTCGAATTGAGAGTACAATGGGACATTCGGAGAGACCTAAACAATGACTGGAGGTCATTCCAATGAGAGACTCCACAAATCGCCTATTCAGTGGAAGATGAATAGGGTTTTGGGAACCGAGTTGCATACTATTCCTAATTAATACCAACTATGGAAGTTGTGACGTGGCAAAAGGTGAATTCTCCCAAGTTGCATAAAAGGAGTGGCTCAGAGAAATGGTGGTCACTATCTTAAATAGTGATGTTTACAATCATTCTCAAAAGACAATGCCATATAGACGAAGAGTACTGAAGCTTAATTCTGATCAAAATGTCACCTCATTCAACACCTATGGTGACTTTCTACACATTTAAAAAAAACTTTCTGTCACAAGGGAAAGAGTTCCATGTGTGTACATGTACATCACATGACACCCTGTGCACAAACCCTGTGGGACATGTTTGAACAATTCTGTGTTTTTTAACTAAATGTTCAGACATTTTCCCTGCTAAATTTTTTTAGGGGGCCACATTATCACTTTCTGATGGCTTCCAAACTAATGCAAGGAAAATTAGTGATTTCCCCATACACTCTAACCAGTGACGTCACACAATAAAACCAAGCATTCCAAGCTTGAATGCATACATTTTTACTCCAAGCCCAAATGGTGAGATTTTATAAATGGTGGAGTAGGTCTATCGTACTTGTACAAAAAAGTTGTAGTCATTTGACATTTTACATGGCCTAAATTAGTAAAAACTAAATTTTACATGTATGTCGGGAAAATTCGGACCAGTCTCAAAGGGTGTGCATACGAGTTTCAATACATCCAACTACATGGAACTTTTTCCTATGGCTAATGCATTTCATGTTTTTAATAGGTACTATCTGTTGGTCCCTCCCGGCCCAGGGCAGAGCCGCTGGCAAACGCTACAACGGGGCACTGTTATTGACTGTGTTCACATCGACGTGTACCTCTTCATAGCATGCCAGCAGACCGTGGCTTATTTATGAAACTGTGACTGAACTCTTTCAGTTGCAACCAACAACAAAAGTTAACTGACTAACCTTTGGCTGAGTGAATAGTTTGCTCAAAGACCGAATCCTTTCCTCTCTCTTTATCTTGTTCGGCCATGGTTTTTTAATCGCACCAGGAACCGGGTACCGGCATCTCACCAAGCAACTTCTTCAATTCTTCTTTGGTGAAACCCCCAAAACACGGTTGAAACTTTAGAAATGCAAACTTATGACTTGGCCCAAGGAAAACTGTCTACGGAAGACAGTTATCCTACCACACTGGACTTGTGGATTTCGAGCCAGTGCCAGTAGCCTGTAACTGGGCCGACTTGCCCCCGTTGAAGTCAGGGTTCGTCTGCGCCTTGGTGCGCGGTCTGCCAAGCTAGCCTAGGTGTTTGGTGTGTGCGCGGTGATTTACGCACCACACAGAATCCGACTACAATTGGCCGTCGGATTTACTGTCATTCATAATACATGCCTCTGTGCTAGGCTACTGACTTGGATGGGATTTAACTGCTGTCAATAATGTTTGGACTACGGTCTGCCTCTGACATCTCTGATTACCATAACCATTGGAAAAAGGGATAGGGGTTGGGCTTGAACGTACGACTGTGTGACTTTTGTGGTCAGTCCGTGTTCAAATGGCTACGGCTGAAAGTCACGGGCGCGCTTATGAAAGCCGCTTCACACATTTCACGTGGATTCGTCCGTCACTGCAAGCCGTAACCAAGGAATCTGACGCCGCTGGAGCAACACGTGGATGCGTAGGGCTGGCATTGCATGCATTTGATGGGGGGGGGCGGTCAAAGGGTAAGGAGTCCAGTAAACAAGGCGACTGGAAACGCATGCAACCTGACAATTACTTCAGGGTTTTCTTTCCAAACTTACCGGCAACTTGCAGCACCACACGATCGGCCAGATTCGTCACCTCCACGAACCACCTGTAGTTCTCATCGCCTCTTCCCTGCCTCTCCAAGACGTCTGTGACGGACATGCGGGAAATGGGCCCGCCTTCGCTAAAGTCCATGTCGCTGCCTCACGACGACTGTGACCCTGCTCTCCTCCGAGAATTGAAACCATTAAAAATGTTGAAATGTAACAGATTATGCTGTTTTTACTATCACGGGTGAATGATGTTGCTGCCGCATTTGACCAAGTTCATGGCGCGTGACAGATTCGCATATTTAACACTGACTGCAACTGAGTCTTTCATAGTAGATCCAAAATGCCACGCGATCATTGATGCGACTACATTTGTAACTTTTATTTTCTTTCTGCGGCGTCAATGACATGAGAGTGGCACAGAGACAAATCATGTGCATTTCGGTCGTCTGTAAGAGCCCGACCTATTGGGCTACGTGACGATAAATCAATACAACCTAATATATTCCCGAAGGATGCATCGCGACATAGCTGTGACACCTGTTGATTCCGCACGGTTGGAATTTCGTTTCGACTTTGATCCGTGGTTCAAAAGCTGGGTTAATTCATATACACATTACTTTTTTGTTTTGCTTTGTTTTTTTTACCTCCCAACAATTTCAATGATGTTCAACCTCTTACACATTCAGATCACTTCTGGCGAGCTAGGGTTATAGGCCTACGGAAAGGTTTACACAAAAGGTTCACAGAGTGGGCCCTAGTGCTAGTAGGCAGGCGAGGCCTACTAAGCTAAGCTATGTTCGACCCGGACACAGGTGAGCAGGCTGTTCAATTTTCCCGTACTACAGGTGGTAAGGCCCCACATCTATAGATCAAACTCGATTTCAGCAGTTTTATTCATTCTTAGGCGCTGGCACTGGGCTATCAATTATAATACCTTCTGAATGTGAGTGCTGATCTCGTGACGTAACACCTTTCTGAAAACTGTACATGGGTGAGCCACGGTGCCAGAGTTCTGTACCCGCGATATGATCCCACTATTGTTATCAAGCGAGCGTGTAATTGAGAAGTCCAGTGCAATAGCAATCCTAAGAACCCCAAAGGAGCGGCAAATACGACTGGGTGTGAAACGATCAGTTGAAAAAGACACGCATTTTTCAATGGATTTGGTCCTTGACCTCTGACTTTCACTACCGAGAACCCACGGGTTCAGTAACAGGTCATGTTTTTGACAATGTTAGGTCCACATTGGCTAAAGTTGTATCGAGTGTCTCCGAAGCGGACACTCCAAGTTTGTCTTCATCCCTCAAGCGATTTTGCAACCAATGCGTGACTGTATCTCCTCTATATAAACTATGATGAGCAATGTGCGTGACAATTCCACAAACATAACCATTCAAACGCCACACTCGGCACAAATCAAGAGAACTTGAATAATCCTGTCCACTCCCCCGGACGCATTTAAAAGCTCTTGAGTGATTTTCGCAGTAGAAGTTGAATAAAGTACAGTAAAGACGAGCGTTGCGCCCTCTTGCTATAATCGTTCGTGTCTTATGTTTTTGAAGGCTTCCCTTGTTCCCAACTATACACATATTGTAATAATTTACCTGAGCTGCCAATTCTTGGTTGGAATGTTGTAGGGAGTCGCTAACAAATTCGAGACCTACCACGCGCCACCGTGACAATTCATTCTTCAGCGAACTTTGTTTTTAGGGCCAATAGCAACTTTCAATGCACACGCAATTTTTAAAGAGAGTTCATTTTCTCCGCAAAAAGTCCGTTCAGAACATTTTCCAAGTTCCACAATAGGTTTTCCCGCTCAAATTCGTAAAAAATACCTGCAGATTCGTTTCTAAGGTACGCATTCGCTACTCATACCTTGGATACAGGCAGTTTGTTTCTCGACACTCACAAGTTAGGCATTTAAGTCATTCAATTAATGCTTAACGCCCCCATTTCTAAAGTAAATCATCTTGATGAGGGCGTCAATCACTTGGGGAGCCGGGGGGGGGTTACACAAAGCAAAACAAACGTGAGCGCGAGTCGAAAAAAAAAACCACACACACACTTAACTGCTTGATGTACAGGTCCGGGCATGCTTGCAGACATTTGGGAAAAAAGTTAGATGGCATACACACCCACAAAAAAAACAAATATTATTCTGAAAATTAAACCAAGTGATAATTGCCCCCGAACATTCAATAAACAGTTATTTATTCACAGCACAAGTAACAAAAACAATTTGCTGTCTTGTATTTGTGTATTTCAAGATGAATTCGAAAGAAAACATGGAATGTCTGTATCGGCTGGCAGATTTCTTTCAAGAATTTCATGAAAACAGGTCAGCACAATTTTACAGTAGGCAAGAGTGAATTGTACTGCGGATAAGTTTGCCTAAACATACAAAATTTGCGGAAAATTTCCCCTAAAAACACTTGGTTGAATTTTCATAAAGGCGACGCAAGACGGACGACGGGCGACGCACGACGGAAAATGGCATATATGGCACTGGAAAATGGCAGAATTGGGACCCAACAAAAAGTAAGAGGCGACGGACGACGGGCGTCGCGCAACGGACGACGCGCGACGGACGACGGGCGACAAAATAATTGTCCCTACAAGTTACGCCAACGATATGATGACACAGAAAATGAATCCACAGACGGTCCAAAGATATATAAGTGGACTGTCTTTTTAGAAAATTTATCCAAAGATAAACTATTAAAAAGTGACACAACCACCATTGGAATGAGGAAGTGGAAAGACAGCTTGACTAAAGCGTGAGAAATGAAGTCGTGAAAGATTAGCAGCGGCGGCGACACGAGACGTCACGGAGACAGACCGTGGCGTCCGTGGGGGCACGTGCTTGGTGAAACGCACGTTCTGCGAGCGATGCTTTCTAAAGGGCCAAGGATCGGTATTCAATCTTAATTCATATTTATGTCACGCTGTCATTGTCCTTCCATGCCATTATCGCTGCTGTCGTTGTTCGTAACATCGTTTCTTTAGGATCACGTGGTCGTCCCGGCATTTACTGGTATGAATGGAGCGCGGGTACGGTACAAGACTCACTGAAAGCCAGAAAGTCTATAAAGCTCATTTATATAAAAGGGTCCGGTAAGCTGTGCAGGTACAAAAACACTCCGGTAGGGGGGATATCGAAAACATATCTGACGATGACAGACTTGCCACGAGGAAAAACAGCCAGGATAAGAGTGTTGCTGCCTTAAACGAGGGTGCGGGTGTGATATTTTTCCACGTGATTGGGACATCACAGCAAGCCAGTTTGTTCAACTTTAAGGTATACCGAGAACGACACCCCCGCAAAGTATTGTCTGATCTCGTCATGTATCACTGAACCAGTTCATGGCAAGGTTTAACAAGACCCCCCCTTCCAGCTCTACTGAATAGCAGGTATAGGAATCGAGAATTCCGTGCACGTATACACACAGGACCCGAAACATGGCTGGCCCTATGTGTTGGCGGAACATGCTTGCAATACGGCATGGCCGTCTCCGGCAATCTGTACTTCAAAAATAAATTAAAATAAAATAAAATAAAATAAATTAAATAAATACGTTTATTCTCAGATACCGGCCAAAAAAAATCTCTCTACTTACCTAAATTAAGCGTTTCCCCTGATAGCACGTCAGCATATTTATTTCTACTACATCTAAGGTTAACTGGTCTATCTAAGAATATAAACATTGCCGTGATATTGCACACATGGCGATTTCACTGCGGCTAATGTGATACAAAATGACAAGCACACAGCGCGTGTATTTGGAGATGACTTTGGGACTAAGTACGTTCAGTTCAACTCATCCCATGTGCGGCAGAAAATATCCTAGAGATTTTACCACACGATTTTTTCCTTCGTCATTGCAGGCCAGGGTCTTGCTATGATTCACTCTTTTCACCCGTGCATAATACGTCTGCAGCAGTCCCAACGCATCACGTCTGCATTGCTCGACATTGACTTAGGCTCATGGCTAGCCTTTGGCACCCTCGGCAACTACCCGTTGCTCATCCATGCGCCGGTTCAACTATGTGCTTGGCGAGGCTGGCAACAGCTAGCCCAGGATGTCTTCATTAGTATTTGCCGCTGCGGGCGGAAACTTTGATAACCCTGTTTTCGCTCTCATTGAGCTTCAACCTCTACACTTAAAAATGTGCATCATTTAACCAAGTGACACCTATACATACCTTGACACAAACTCGAACATATCTGTCAAATAGGCCTATAAGACGTCGACCCTGTGAAAGAAATTACGGATACAGATCTATTGCTTCCGGAAGTTAGTATCTTTTTGAAGTTTGTGACAATGTCGGTGATTATCAGGTGTAAACGGTCGTTTCTTTCCTGCCGATACGGCTTGGCGAAATATTGTCCCCCAAACGGGCGACGCAGTGCTTGGGTAAGTACGCGTACGGATCGGCTTTTCTTCGAAGCAAACAAAGCCGAGGGAATGCTTGCTGAACAATATTCTTCAGAATGTCTTGTTACATGAAACCTGTCGGGAGTGGAACACAGCAACCGGATTTACAACATCATAATACATATAATATGTGACCCGCTTTGTGACGGTCTCTCGGTCCCAAGGGACGGAGCTCTGGAAATTGGGGAGGTCGACATGTCAGAGAGGGCGTGCCACTGCGATGAATTCGAATACCCTCCTTACACATTACCTTGAGCGTAGTTATTTTATGATTCCTGCATGTGTAATGTGTTACATAATGTATAGGGCGTTATAAAGAAGGATAGCTCCATAGTTCAGCAAGTTGTCAGCGAGCCTGCTGTAGGCCTAGTATATTTTGTTTAATTATTTTGGTCCCATGCACTCTATATAATAAAATTTCCTAAAATGGAGCTGGGAGAAACCATATAAAACCCTAGCTCCCTTAGGTCAAATAACCATGGATAATTATTGACGAAAGACCAACTTGTCTGTACACTTTCAACAAAAAACACACATATCCAGTTTAGTCCCAAGCCTACTGAACTCTATCCAACCGAGTATGACAGTATTAAGCTACACTTTGTAATTTGTAATCATTACTAAGGCATGAGACTGAATTTCAAAAACTGATGTTACCGATTTGATAATTACAATACAATTTCCAAGCATCTGATTAAACTAAATAAACGAGGCCGGTGATTCAGCTTCAAAATGAGGGCAATTTAAAAAAAATCTATTTTGCATTCAAGAATACAACTGCACTTCACCCTCTACCATACTGACTAGTAACAGGAGACATCAAGAAAACATTCTCTTCTGTAAGGTTGCCTTTTAAAGTATACAGAGGGGAGGGCAGGAGGCAAGAGACATGGGCGTGGCCATGATTTTTTTTTGGGGGGGGCAAAGCACTCACCAGCAGCATACTGACGAACCATTGACAATGGAAGGAAATCACCTTCCAAGGTATTTTCAAGCAAATTCTGATTTTCATTTACCCTTCCTCCCATTTTCCCCACTTTTGTATTCTAATTGGGGGGGGGGTGTTTGGGGCTGGACCCCTTCCTTGCAAAACCCACGGCAAGAGACACTACTTTTTCATTGGGGGAAAAAAGTCACACAATTGGCTGTCTCCTTCTTTGCAGGTCTTCATACACTGTAGCACAGCAGGTTTTGGTATGAGAAAAAACATCATCAGAGGCACCCAACATCAACTTTGGTGGTGTTGCGTGGGTGTACCTGAATGTTTGCACATGAATGTTGTTTGTGCTCCACACGTCTGAAAAGGCTAACCAATTCCCACTGGGCCTTTCTTAACCTGCCCACCATGTGCAGGGCTCCGGTGAGTGATTGTCTGGCAGCATGTGGGGACCAACTTTTCACATACACACACCCTGGACTTTGAACTGAGCTCAAGCGTAAAACATTGGACAGAATCTGTACTGGTGGTTACAACAATGGACAGGTTTTTACTGACACTTACAGAATCGAGGGGTTCTAAGAAATCTTTGGGTCAACCTAAATGCAAGCATCATGCTGCATCTGTCATCCAAATCAAGTGAATTTGGCACCGTCACTGAACATGACACAAAATACACAAGGCCAAGTCTCGTGGTGACAGTTGTAATTTCAGGGTTCCTGCACCTAAAGGACAATTAATTTCAATGACTTTTCTGTGATTTTCCATGACCGAATTATGAAAATTCATGACCCAATAATGCAATTTCTTGGACTATTCAGACTTTAAAATGGTGAATAAAATTACGCATTTTATGCACTTATTTCTGGTAACAGAAATGACACACAGTGTTTGAAAAATTCCATGACTCTGCTATGACTTTTGTCATTTTTACAAAATTCCATGACATCTCCAGGTCTGGATAAAGAAAACAAGTTTCCATGACTTTTCCAGGCCACGGGAACCCTGAATTTGCTCAAATCAAGTTTTGTCTTTATGAAGCAGCATTACTTTAATTGCGATAATACTTCTGGTTGAGTGACATCTTTGAAGTGGACATTTTCCCTGAAAACAGCCGTATATTTTGATTTTTTTTTGGGAGCACCTCGGAAGTCAGAATGCTACAGAATGTTCAAATGAAAAAGTTGCAAACTTAAATCGGAAACACCCCCCACACCCCGTTTCTTTGTAGAACAGGGCATGTTTCCAAATGGGTAGTGGTCGATGTTCATATAAAGTAACTTAGGAACAGCGCATTATTAATTAAAAGAAAAAACAGGAAAGTTCAAACTTCTGAGTCATTCCATTCAGCTCATCGATCAACATTTTTAGTACAGTCCGGACTAAAATGAGCGACTGTTTCACTTCAGTGTTGAACACAGTAGACCAAAGCAAATGCATGGACCTTCAATGTGCCGGGTTCTGCCTTTGACACCTTATGCCAAACTGGCAATTTCAAGTGTTACGCAAGTGCACCAAGTCTTGCAACATGCTCCCTTGGCTGACCCCTTGCTCTCATCCCTGGAGCAACCCAGACACGCCGTGTCCCAACTGGTGGTAGTGACGGCTGGCACACATGCAGTGTGACTTTGTTTTGACTCCCACGTGACACATGGATCAGACCGGAGCCAAAGAGGGAGGAAAACACACAGTTTGGTGATGACAGAAGCTGGTTTTATTCAGAGACCACAGGGCAACCTGTTCGTTTCTCCTCTCTTTTTTTTCTAACAAACCGAGGCATTAGTTTCAGGGCAACTTTTCCAAGGCACAACTTGCAGGATGATAAAAGAATTCAACTTGAACAAGAAACCACTGGGGTTTAATGCAGGCAAGTACCTATAAAGAGGGTTTCCAAAACCTAACACTTTGACCAAGGATGTATTTTGCACAGTAGAGACAAGAATTCCAAACAATTTTTAGAAAGTTGGCAACTAATCAGACATTTGGCTTTGACCATTTCAATGCCTCTAGCACCCAAGTTTGTGCTGGCCATTTGATTAGTCCACTCTGAAGCTTCCTAGGTGAAGTGACTAATCAACATAACATGATCGCAGGTGTAAATAGATAAAATATGTTTTGCGTATTTTGCCATTTAGATGGTTGTGACACTAGTTGAAAATATTACCTCCAATGAATGCCACTGTGTGTCACATGATGCATGACATTGAAGAGCTGATTTGCAAGAGTTGACAAACTATTCATTTTGTTCGAGCAAAGTATGGTTGAGGGTCTAACTGTACTCTAACTCCTCAAATGTTATTGCAGAATTTGCTCTTGAGCACAACCGAAACACTGCCCTCGAATTTGCAGCTCTTCTAGAACCTCCACAATCCACCACTAAAGTAGGATTGCCGGAGGCACATTTTCTGAACTTGAACATTTGTACTGCAGCCACCTTTGTGTGAAATTGCCAGGAGGATGGTCTCTATCCTCCTTGATCTTGCAAAATCTCCAAAAACCTCTCAGTGGATTTTGAAGGAAATTTCGGCAGGTTACTGATGAGACTGTACTTTTTTTTTCGTAGTACAATGACCCACTTTATATTTGAGGCCTGTTTACTTTACTCTTAACAAAAAAGTTTAGATCAGGGCATCAGAGTTATATGAGCCAGTTGCTGATTGGCTGCATGTCTGAGAGGGAAAAGGGGGCAAAAGACAGAATGGTACTTTTGAAAGAAACTGATGAACCAATGCTAATTCGGTCTGGAAATCTGTCTGTGACCGTTTCGTGTTCACTGAGGGGACAAAAGTCTTGCCTGCAGCCTCTGCAGAAAACAGCAGTCAGTGGTCTCGGCAGGTGCCTCAGAGGTCTTTTTTTGAAAGTGCAGTAAACCGCATTAAATGTCAGCTCCCCACATGGAACTCCCTGCCGTCTGTGGCTGCCAAAACAAAAAAATGGAAGAAAAAGTCTGACACTGAACTGAAACAATCCAGAAAAAAAAAATATGCCTGCTTAAGTGCTTCCCTCGATTCTCCATTTTCAACAACTGAGCGTTCCACCTACCGATTTCAAGGCATTCTTCGCCGCGTCTCTCTTGTCAATGTTGCTGGCCAGCGCCTGGCTGCGATAAATCAGATTTTTGGTCTTCTCGATGACCTGCTGGTACGGTGATACGTTCTGCGAACCCATGACAACATGACCCTGAGGGAGGGGGGAAAAAAGACTGCAGATGTTCACAGCAGAAGAATTACCAGACGTAAAATGATCACACAGCATCATTTACCAATTTGTCAATTTATTTACTCTTTTCTCCAAGTAGGGCTCTGTTTCATTGGTCATGAGACCAATCAGTCATTTTTCAAACTCAAAATTACTCAGAAAATTATACAGAATTAGAAATTTCCAATCTCCCTTCTGGAGAGGCCCTACAACCATTCTTTTGTGCAATACCTACTGCAGTCGAAGTCTAAATTTGTTTGAAACTGCCGGGGCAAACCAGAAAAGTTTGAAACTTAACGCTTATTTAAATGAAGGAAAACAATAAGCAGTATCAGCCAATAAGTGGAAAAATGCTCCAAACGAAATGTTGCGATAAAGTTGACAGAAGGACCGATAACAAAACATTTGCTTTGGGTGCAAATGGAAAGTTTAAAACAAGTGATGCAAAAATGATGTCCAAATCCTTCCCAAGCCAAATGGCAAAACAGACCTTGACCTTAACATTTTTTTTTAACAAGCCTGCCAGGCACGTTACCTTATTTTGTCACTAGCCCACTGGACAGTTTTCTCAGCAAAACTAACCATGACTGGCTTTTTTCAACTTCATTATTTCAACCATTACTGTGGAGTCTTGCTGTCGAGTTTTAAAACTGGAGGATTCAAAACTGTCACAATTACTGATAAACAACACGTACGATCAATTTCACAGCATTTATGTTCTTCATCTTTACCAAAATGACAGTTTCAAACAGGTGGGTTTTCTTTCCTAGCCGGGCGAGGTAAGAACGCATTTTACCAGCCTGCAGCAGCTTTCCCCAGAATTTGTACATCGATCTAGTGCTAAGGTCAAGGCCTGCAAAAGAGGCAGGCAGCCTGTGAGCGGTCACCAGCTGATTTTTGCCTTGGCACAGATTTTGCTTAGCGTAATTTCCCGGGGCACAGCAACGTCAAGGAATGTAAACGAGCTCAACGCAGAGTTTCCACTAACCAACTTCGAGTCAATCTTGGCATCCAGGTGGGCGTTTCGGATGAGGTTGACGATCCAGCGTTCCGCATCCTCCGCCTGCATGTTCAGCTTGTCAGAAAGCATGCTGAAAAGAGTTGCAGTTAGAAGGAATGACCATCCAAACGAGGCACAATTACAGCATCGGTAAATATTTAACAGCAATCAGTTTTCCTAAAGTCATGGAAAATCCTGGCAAAAACAATGTTGTCCTCGAAAGTCATGGAAAAGTCATGAAAATCAAAATCATGCAAGGGGTTATTTTTGGTGGGTCACTTTTGACGTGATTACAATATGTGATAAATTCACAGGCTATCTTTGTCTGTCTTCAAAATACAAAGCAACTTTTCTTAGCAAAATGTCACTGAAATTGTCAGATGTTAGTTCTAGATAGCCCTTGGAAAAGTCGTGAAATTTTGTTTTCAGATTTCTGGGAAACCCTGGAAAATGGTCCAGGCTCTGGGAATTATTTTTGCTATGCTTAGCAACCCCTTGAGAAATGTTTGTAATTTAGCAGAATTTGCCACCAATCATTTCATAACCATGCTGAGGAAATATAAGCTGTTGTCTGGAAAATTATACAAACAGACACATGAACAACAAAACAAACATAATTGAAAATTTTTGTGGCCTGTAACTAGCAAAGCTTTCTGGAGACCGAACTTTTTCTGAACTGTGAAATGCTCCCTCAGAAAGTGCCTCCTCAACTCACTTGATGCTGATGCAGTTATGGATGCGACAGAACGTCTCAAAGATGAACATCCTGGCATTCTCGATGAAGTCCTCTATACAGGCTACCAGGAAGAAATCGTTGATCAGAACCTGCAACAAGTGAAGAACATCATTACCGTTTTGGTTTGTTGTAACTTCGGTGTAACTTTAATGACTTGCTGGTCTTTTCAACCCCGTGGGAATTGCTTTGGCTGTTCTTTCGGTTTCTCATCAGTAACTCTACACTTGCCAGACCCTGCAGAGTGCAACAGGTGTAAAAGTCTGGTGCACTTTGTTGCGCCGGGAAATCAACTGCAGTAAAATAATTTTTCCCACATTGAGACAATGGGGGCCGAGTCCCACTGAACAATGCCACTGTTGGATCCTGTGGTGGCTGACAACCACAGATCCTGTGGTCGTTTTAGCCTTGGGGATAGTCGACCTGTTGGAGCTCGTTGCCCTTTGCACGGCAAGCCACTTTGAAAGATGATACTGACGGATGTGTGAGGCAGGGTTTCTAGCTAACATTCCCTGGAGGGGCTAGGGTTAATAGGCTGCCTCAGACATGATCTTGGTACCACTCCAAACTTATATCAAGCTCTTCCCTCTGTTATTAGTCGAATTGACAAATCCAAAACCTCATTTCCCTCCGTACGAATAGGATTGAGGAAGGTGAAATATTGATGTACGGAATTCTGACATGTATTACTTGATATGCAATTTCCATCAGTGCCAATCAACCCCACTCCCAAAAAAATGTTAAGAAATTTTTCCAATGCTTCCAAATCTGCCACTATGCAGGAAACCAATGGCACATTCTTTGTGCTGCAAATGCTCATGGGGCACCTAAACCCTTGTAGATTAACAGCAGGCTGTTGTACACCTCTTTCAATCCTACAACATTCTCCAAACCTCCTGGTGGATTCTGAAGGTTTCAGGACTATTAAGCCCACAGCAGTGCCCAATCACACCACCAACACAAGATTTCCTGTCACAACAAGTCTTTTGCGAGTTAAATTTGAATAAAATCTGGTACTAAGTTGCACAAACTGCACATAAGCATAACAATTTGAATTCCCCAGATTAACGACACTGTTGCTATACTTGTGGTTCAGGGCAAGCTTTTGCATAGCGACCACTATCTCTGGAATGGGATGGTTCCTTTGCGTCCTTCTTATCCATTGAAAACAGTGTATATTGGTGCAAGGCGTCTCTTACGTAACCAAGCAAAAGCTTGCCTCCAATCACGAGGTATAGCAACAGTGTCTTTAGTGTATATAATTCAAATTTGTATGTGTAAGTTAATTTAAAGAACTCAGTGCACCAGATTTTAGTCCAATTTAACTCGCAAAAGACACATTCAAGTCACAAAGCTACTGAGATGAAATGAAACCAAACGAATTCCTTTATCACTGTTTGTGCCGTCACATTTATGACTGGTCTTCTGACGGTCCTGCCAACAACAACGCCAACTCAGCACTGCATCGTTGCAGGTGACACTAACTGGGGGGAAAATGTACAAAATCCAATGATACACAACTCACCGTTTCACAGTCCCGCAGTTTCTGCTGCGCGCCGTCAAAGTTAAAGTTGACGTAGAGGCACTCCACGAATTCCGTGATGGGGTCTCTGTAGGTGTACGACTCCTGAAAACCAGATCACAAAACGGCAACGAGTTCGTGACTAAAACATTCTGTAAAACTGACTTGGCTGCCAGTTGAAGCAAGATATCCAGTTACTGACTGACGCATCCTCAACTTGAAAAATTTTAACACTGGGCACATTAACCTTAACCGCTTACTGCTGGGGGACCCAGTTTCGGGTTCATTTTCTTTATACCTAATGCCGGGCTGCCCAAAACCGGACAAAAGAGCTGGGCCTTGTAACAAAAGACAGTACTCGGAACAAAAGACTGAGCTGCTGGGAATTGCCAACAGTTTCTCAGTTGTCAATAGCGTAGGAAATCCGTCATTGTTTTGATAGATTATACCACAGTTTGTGGCATTGAACCTGAGCAAATTACCACCAGGGACAAAAGCGCTCCAGTGATGAGCAATACAATACTGCTGCGCGCTAATCTGGCCCCTACTGAAAATATGCACTGCGGCGGTTTCGGGAACAAAAGAAAATTACATAACACTGCACAATCTGGGCCCTTTTACAAGGCGGCAGGCCTTGCTGCAATACTCGGGCGTCAATAAACGTTGTCTGTCAGATTAGTGTGGCCACCAGACAGTCATTTGTGTGGGTGTAAATGTCTAGTAAATGTAGTTATGAATTTTTAAAGAATTTTGAAAACTGAAAAAAAATGAAAAATCACCGGCCCAGCAGAATCAACATGAATAAACGGGCCCGGCACAAAATGGTTAACCCTCTATGGTGTATCTAATATCGTATTGAAATTGGAGAATGTTTGGGGAGTGTCGGGATGAGCAGTGTTTCCCCAACAGTGATGAAAGTTCTCCATTACATGAAACTAGAAAGAAAAAAAAAGTTTTCATTTTTGATAAAAAAAGAGATTTTTTTTGGAAAGCGGAGTTAAAAAACCACAGCAAGAAGCTGGTTAACAATGTCCACTTTCACTTACAGCCTGCTTGCATAGTCACAAGTTTATCTGTTGGATGTTCAAGACTTTTGAAATTTTCCGCCACGGGGGGCCACTGCGAATGAGAAAGTCCTTGCCTTTTTTTTGTTCCACTGCAACCGTGTACAACCAACTCAAGCCAAACACAGCGATAATGTAACCAAAATTACAGAATCTGTCAATCGCTGTCGGCCACACGTCTAAATCTGCTAGTTGCTAAAGCGATCAACGGCTTTCTTTGTCTACTCACCTGCTGGATGACTTTGACGAGGTCTTTCAAGACTGTCCGCCTCCGGTTCTTGTTGGTGATGACGGCTGTTGTGAGATAGCGGAGGATGTGTGGACACGTGGTCTGAATGGCATTCAGGTACCTGCCAGAGATGAACGCATTTGGAAACAAATTTTAAGCAATGTTAATACCTAATTCAATCCTCATCCTGCTTGGAATAAGTTTTTTTCAAAAGTTGATGGACAGCATGAAAAGAAATCACAGGCTGAAACTAGAGAGTTGTCAGGATGTATAGGAACGGGTGAACCCAGTGCTATTTGCCAGCCTGGGAGGCAAAATATATCAATAAATATGTTTGGAAACAATTGTGAAAAATAATTTGGCCAAGTCCTCACCCTGTTTTGAAACTGTCTTTCCCCAAACTTAAAGGACAATATGAAAAGGAATCAAAGATAAAAGCAACCCGGGGTTTGTCCCAGGATTTAAAGGAACAGAAATATTTCAACATTTTCAATCAAAATTTTTTGTTTTTCCAAAGCATTTTCAAAAGCACAGAGCATGTGTGCTAACCACATTAGAATTTTGATGAAATGTGAGAGCCTTCGGATTGAGAAAATGGCATGTTCTTACGCTGGCTGGTAGAGGAACTTGTCGATGATGACATCTCTCCCCTGCGGGTGATTGAAGTAGACAAACAGGCTCCAATGGATCAGCCACGTTCTCTGCTGTAATGACTGCAAGGGGGTGACAAACGTCTGGAAGGAAATGCAAACAAAAAAGATCTTGGACAGTTGCAGAGCAGTTGTACGCCTTCAAATCCGCCTCCAGCGGCAGCGCCCCCTTATCGGTTGAAAAGAGCCGCGTTGGTCGGGAGTATTCATTTTGTTGATAGCGATGGGACTGCAACACGTTTCCTAGTCATTTGTGAACAGGCGATCAGTATCAAAGGAGCCTCCGTTGCTGAGGAAATAGCGCCCTCTCTTGGTCCAGCTCAAGGCTAATACCCATGCCATGACCTCAGTATGAGACTCAATGGGTATCTACCAAGTCTGGCATCCTAACTGAAACGAACCAACACACCCCATCTACCACTGATAAATCTAAACCCTATGGGATCCATGTCTTAACAAGTGATGGCTATTTTTAAACAGAGATGACAGTCCTTTAATGGTAAGACAGGCTGAACATGTGCTACGTGCAAATGTTGTTTCGTGCATACATGGCATGGCACACATGCCATCAACTGGGTTCGGAATGTACGCTTTTCTTTTGGGCACCAGGTGCTCCATCAAAATGGTCGTCCACCTGCCTTTCTTATTCACGGCACTGATTGACACCCTAAAAGAGCCGGGGGTCAGATTCTACCCCTCCCCCTTAACGTTTTTCCCAATATTGCTGCAGTGCATTTTTTTTTCAGGAGTTAAACCTTCAGGATTTTTCAAACAACTCTTTGCGGTCATTTTGACACCAACTGTGTGAAAATAGGACATTCCATTCTTGTGCAGCGTGCATCTTTCCGAGACGGGTCAGCCAAAAATGCATACTTTTTTCCACTGCGGTGTTCAATGCATCTAGCCTGGAACTTCACATGACTGCAACAACAAACCTATTAACTGATTGACTTCAAACTTCACATTTGTAATGAAAAGGAGTGTCTTTATGTGCTTGCCACCCCAGCTGTGAGATGGTCCAAAAGAACCCGGCGCTTTTAGGGTTAAGTCAATGCTAGCTTGACTTTGATGAAAGCCAAACTTAATCCAGGCAAGCAAAGTAATGTGAAAAAGCACCCAGCTGATCCACATCTTCTTAGACAAAAGTGAGTTACCACCAGTGTTGTAGTCGAGACCACTTAAGACCTTCACAAGACCACGCAAGGCCACCATAACACCTCCAGTCTGAATTCAAGCCACAAGCTATTCAAATGAACTGCAACAAAAGCATTCCTTTGTCACTGTTCAACCTGTTACTTAAGACTGGTCTTGTGCATGGTCTTGTGTCTGGTCTTGTGACGGTTGCGACTACAACACTGGTTACCACTCATACAATTTGGCCTAAAGGAAGTTACACAACTGACAGTTGTGACCAAGCCCGGCCCACCCCAGGCAAGCCTGGCCGGGCTTGCCCAACCTTGCGTTACATATCCTAGCCAGTGAAAATCAGTTTTGCCTGGCCCCATCCAACTAAGCTCATTCCAATCCGGCCTTTTCAAGTCCATGCCAGGCAAGCCAAGTTAGCTCCATCCTGCCCAAACTAGTTCAAACCGGTCAAGACCAGTTCCTGCTCCCTCAGGCCCGCCCAGCCAAACCCACACCAGTCCAACCCCTCCCCCCCTCACTTACGTTAGAATCTATCACCTCCTGCAGTTGGTTGAGGTCCTCCAGTGCCTGATCCCAGTCCTGCTTCAGGATCTCAGAGGCCAGTTTGCCCCACAGAGCGGGCATCGCGTTCTTGTCATTCTGCGAGATCTGTGCAAATGCAGAAATGAAATTTCCCACAGCATCGCTCAACTCTGGTCGTGTTTCCAAAGGGACCCCTTACACTAGCTTACCAGAGAAGGTCCAGTAACTTGAGTGCATCAGCCCTAATTATGTCTGGTCAACCATATACGAATGACACTCTTTGTTGAAAGTTGCTGATCTGGGCAGTAAAACGAATGTATTCTCTCCAGATCAATTCTCTCCCTGCCTCCCTGAGATCTTCGCTGATCTCAAAACTTACTGAAACTTAGCAGCAGTGTTGAAGTCTCGTGCATCACAAGTCCCTTCACAAGGCCAGTCATAAGAAACAGGGTAAACAATGACAAAAGAATGCTTCTGTCACATCTTATTTGAATAGCTTGAATTTGATTCGGCTTAAGACTGGATGACTTGTGATGGGCTTGTGATGGCCTTACAGGGACTAACAGGGACTTCGGATGGAGAGCCCCCTACCAGAGCCACCTATGGTCAAACGGTCTGTCGAAACCAACCAAGGAGGTATATACTGCACAACAGCTAAACAGCAAGTTAATGGAGAGAGAAGCTGACATTCCACACAAGCCAAATATTCGTTTATGTGACACGTTGACACGCATGAAGCTGAACTTTCAATACTGGTGTGTCAGAAGAGGCAAGAAACATCAGTGAGCAACTTAAGTCTAAAACACGGGGCAGGTTTTCCCAAGTTCTCTTAGAATGAAAGAAAAAAAAAACAGGCTTACCAACACTCTAAAGAAATACAGGTACTGAGCTGCGGTGCTGTAGTCTCCGCATTCGTACTTGAACTTGGCGAATTTGTAGAGCGTGTCCAACATGTCCTGGCGGAACTGCAATAGAAAATTAAATGAAAGATATCAGTCTCAACTGACGGGAAACGTTAACACCTCCTCAACCCTTTTGTGAACAAAACCTCGTATGTGAACCACTGTGTGATTGCTTGCGACAATCATGGCACTGCCAAAAATCTCTCTACTGTACACACCAATGACAAATGTGAGCATATAGTTCTTGTCTCTTGATAGGTGTGCAGAACCTTAACGAAGCTCAAGACTTCTGGCCTTAGTCTGGCCCTAAATGGACCCAAAACCTGTAGGGGTCGAAACTGTGCTAAGAACCGGGCTACATTGAGGTACAAGGTTAGGGTTACATTCAGGGCTTCTGCTCACCCAAATGAAGTCTTTACCAGACATTTAACACACTTTTCTAATGTCCAACTGTCAGTTGATACCCACCCCATGGTTTGTTGCCATATACTCAAAGAGAATGCGGCCATCTCGGGTGTCCTGGATTTTAGAAATGACTTCTTCCAAGGAGAAGATTTCAAGAATCGGCTTCGTCTGGGCCATCAGCTTTTTCATCTCGTCCACGACCACAGCACGCTTGTCGTACATTTCTAAGGATGAACAACAAAAGAAATGTATGACTCGATCCTGATCAAATAACAAATGTGAAAGCTTGTTCCTGACCCCTGCTAATTAAACATGCACACATTTGGGTATGTAGCCACAGAAATGGACTTGCAACCAATTCATAACGATCGTAATTAAGAAATGCAGAACATATCCGTTCCATTCACATCAACAGCGATCTGCAAATGTCTCTCACATAACGTAAACTATAGGAATTCAACATTTGTTCGCCTTTATGACAGCCATTCTTTTATCAGGACAATACATCCGTTTGAATCAGGGGCGAGTTTTAGCAGTCATAACCAAGAATTGGTTCAGATGTAAACGTCTAAGATTTTCTTGGTAAGTTTTGATTGGATAAGAATTATACGTGATGAGGTAGCATTCAAATCCTGATCACATAAGCAGAAATATGGAAAGGTGCAATTTGCATATAGGTAATCCCAGAAATAAGGGGTCCAAAAGCATGACATTTTTGTGTACCTGTTACATCTGACCTTTGTTATTTGACATGGAAATATCGCTGGAATTGATTTTGAACTATTACTATTTGTTTGGCACATAATTCATCACTCTTGGAAATAGGAAAATGTGTTCTAACCTTACAAAATCATATATCAGATGTGAAAGGGACACCAAAAAACCAATTACCAATTACCAATACATGAGGACAAGCTTGGCTTTCCTTTGAGCGTGTGGAACCACTGCATACAGTATTGGCACAGTAAAGCATGAGGCATCCACATAACGATGGTAGCAGAGACCAACTGGATTAAGGTTAGGCTGGGGAAGGGAAGGGAAGGGGAGGGGATGGCCATGACTTGCCTGGAGGGACGTCCTTGTCCGGATTTAGACTTCGGTAGACATCCATGATGTAGTCCACCTTTATGGATACAATCAATATTTGATCAATCAGCCAAACTGATTACCGAGATGTGGTAAGAGTAGCCAGCCGAGAGGTTGAACAGCACATGCAAAAAGACATACTCCCCCCCCCAAAGGGTTCCAGTGATGCTCAAGAAATTGTGGGATATCAATTACAATTTGCAAGAAAAACAGTGTTTGCTAGTTCAGTGAGTGGGAGGTTGTTGTGATAGTAATTTCTGTCCCAGGAGACAAAAATCTACTTGCTAACTGGCCATGCACATTGTAAGTAGGAATTCGGCATTCCGGGTACAACAAGGCAATGGAGGGTCATCAGAGTTGTTCAGCATCGTCGCTGTTCCTGCCGGCTTTAGACTGAAACTACGGGGCTCTTCCCTTCAACGATTATTTGGAATTTGAACAACAATGGAAGGACTGGTGAATGTCCTTCAGTGCCAGATGACTCTTTTGAGCATTACTAAAGGTCTACTAGACTGGCTGTTTCATGTGTCGGTCTGGTTGCTCTAAATCGTCCAAAAGTTGGAGGATTCACAACTCTCAGGGTTGAAGTATATTTTCACTGCCTTTATAATTGAAGTTTACCACATACCATTTTTGTGTTGCTTAGTAGACCCAATTTGCCTTCAAGCATTTCCTTTTCATCGTAGATCTGTAAATGGAAAAAAAAAACCAAACAAACATAACTTTCTCCACACTAGGTTGATACATTTCAGTCTTGAGATGATTGTATTAGTATACTCCTGGTCAGAAAGCTGGGTAACCATGGTCACCCAAAACTACCATGATCATATAATGGCCACAGAGTACTTCTGGAAGCTAGACAGCCCCCCCCTACGTGCATTTGCCCTTACTGAGAGGTCACAGCGCTAAGCCAACTTGGCTTAACGCACAACTTGATAAATGCTGGACTCAAGTCATGCCGTAAGTCGAGTTGTCTCAACAGTCGAGTTGTCCCAAGTGGAATTGATAGAAAATGGGTGTCTGACATCCAGCAGATGCATGCATCCTCCATCACATCCATTCACCTTTTTCTATCCTTTTACGACATGTCGATCTTCCTGCACAATTTGCTGGCAATTTTGCGATCAGCCAATCAGGTCCGAAAGTGTAACTATTTGGCCATTTTTTTAGAGGGATTTTTTTTCAAAATGGCCACTTTTCTGGGCAGGTACGTTTTCTTCATTTTATATGTGGTCTGCTTCGGGTGAGAATTTTCTCAAAATTTCACTGGTCAACCCCCCCCCAAAATTGAAAGGAAAATGAAAAGGGACATGTCGAACATTGTTTTTCTGTGCACAGCCCGAACACCTGTGAGAGTTGTATTTTTAAAATAATTGTGAAGTATGGGGATTTATCATTGTTGTCTATGAGAATATATTTGTTGTGGTGCACCCGTAAGGTACCATTTCACTTTTGGCTTAGACTGCTATTAGCAGTATAGGCCTACTAATATGATAGGCATGCATGGATGCATAACAATAACATGCATGGAGTTAGCCCCACTAGTGTGGCACGGTCTCTTGCTACTGCTCCATCCTTAGCCACACATCCGTATGCATAATTTTGTGTCAGCATTGTGAAATCTTTGGTGCACCCTCTTGTAATCATAGGCACATATTTTTTTGCACACACAAATGATCCTTAGTCTCTTTGCTTTCGAATGACAATTTACTGAATGATTTCACTCACATTATTCTGGTATTTTCCAGTCATTTTGCCTTTACCCATTCAATCTCAACAGTCTCACTCTCACATGTCATCTTAAAATTAAAATGAGTCTGTTGAACTTTAAGTCACTTTGACCCCAGCCCGCAGATGGCTGTTTCATGTCAACACATCTCGCGGACTGAGTGATTGTACAGGTAAGTTTATTTTTTTGGTAGAGTTCTTGAAATGGAACAGCTGTCTGCGGGCCGGGGTCAAGTGACGTAAAGTTCAACAGACTCATTTTAATTTTAAGATGGCGTGTGAGAGTGAGACCGTGAGATTATAATAATAATAGCTTTATTTACAGATGGTAGCCATGTCATATAAAAAACAGATGATTTTCAATGGACCATCTAACAACATTAAAATAGTCAAAAATAATATGCAACTAAATTAAGCTATATTATTAAAACATACAGCACATTACCTACAGAAATATTCCAATATACAACAAAGAAAAATCAATATTAAAAAAAAATTACAGATTGAATGGGTAAAGCCAAAAAGACTGGAAAATAGCACTTACCAGAATAACGTGAGTGAAATCATTCAATAAATTGTCATTAGAAAGCGGGGAGACTAAGGAACATTTGAGTGTGCAAAAAAATTTGCGCCTACGATTATAAGAGGGTGCGCCGAAGATTTCACCACGCCGACACGAAATTATGCACACGGATGTGTGGCTAAGGATGGAGCGGTAGCGAGGGTCCGTGCCACACTGTTATGCTACTCCTCAGACTAGTAGTGGTGCTCGCATTGAGTCAATTCATGTAATTACAATGTACATGCACATGTACTATTGTGGTGCAACTGCAATGCAAGTTCAACATACGGTGGTCATACTCATAATAGTTATGCCTTATTTCAACACTGTTTTTTGAAAATGAGCCAGTGAGATAGCCTAAAATAAGAATTTAATAAAGAGGTACCTACTTCTTTTACCGACAGGAATTCCAACAACGGGAAGACCAAATGTCGGTCTAAATATTGGCCAATCGTGCTGGTGAGATCGTATTCTGCCATCTTTTCCCGCATGTGCTACCGGAAGTACTAGAATCCCATAATGCATGCGTATAGTGTCGTTCCGTCGATTTACATCGCGTATTAATCCTTTCAACCGTCTAATCCCAAGCCCAGATTGTCACTGTCGAAATTTATTGGACATTTGTCAGAATAGCTTGTTGAAACCTAGTATATTCGCCCAAAAATTAGAAATCCAAAGTCTAACTCTGACAAAAGAGGAAATCCTGGGGTTTACTTTGTTATGTGTAGTTGTGAAAATTTCGGAGTACTTCGGGTTTTTTGTAGCGATATCGAGCCTATAATTATCGATAATACATACAGATTGAACATTGGTATCGATGCCCAGAAAAAAACTCGGGGCTTCGCCAAATGCAATGATATTGGTGGGGGTTCTCCACTGAGCTTCAAGTTAGGTCGTATATTTTTCATAATTAACTTACTGGCCAAAAAGAATGCTTTCTCGACGTCTAGCAGTGGCGGAAATGTGTGCTGCGGGGAATGGGGGATAAACATTTTAAAAAAAATGCTTGGGCTTGGAAATTTGAGATTAAGGGGTGCTGACTCTGACACCAGGGGCACTGTTCATGATACAGGTGTACATATATGCTTGCACTCCAGAACCTAAATTCAAAACAGCCCATAGCATTTATTTTCTCCCTACATATTCATTGCTAGGGAATACATTTGGTTGTTGGAGAGTCAAAAAATTAGTCGAAATCGACCTGATATTTTTTCTCAAACATAAAAGATTGGGGTGATTCAATAGTCCAACCCAAAAGTGTGTGTGGGGGGAGAGGTTATACAGCCCCATCCCTGCGGGATTTATGCCCCTTCCTTTCTACAGCTTATAAACTAAGACTATATCTGATTTTTTTTTTCCATTTGAAGAAAGAGGCATCTTTTCAGACAAGACAGTTCTTTTATGTTGGGGCTACTGACATTTACATTGACATAATTTACTTTGAATTTTATGGAAGAGTGTGAAACCTCCTCGCTCAACGAATCCACCCCTGTCGACGTCCGGCACACGTCGGACGTCGAGGTTCAGATTCGATAGGTAGTAATCGACATCAAGCTGGAATTGGCTACAATAACAACATAAGCCGTGCATAAATTACTTGGCTACGGCTTGGAATTCCACATTACGCTATGGGCGGTCGCTTGCCATATCGACTCAAGCCACAGCCAATCACGGCTGGCTGGGTCTGCTAAGCTGGGCCTACTGTTTAGTGATTGCTATTTATTTTGACTATTAATTTTGTTGTTTTTCTTCCGTTGATTCACATAAATATCTTTCTGGAAATATGGCAGAAAGATCATCAAAGGGGAATTCCTCAAACCAAGGAACGAGGAGAGAGAACGTAGTCACAGGTGATTTATTATGATTCCTGTGACTTGGCCCTGTGTCGTATGTAGGCATAAGTGCATACAGCATTGGCCTAGTTTTCATGGGTTTTGACCGTGTCGGATGACATTGTTGATTTCTTGTTGCTTTTTGCGAAGTTTGAGTTGACATGAGCATGTTGAGTCTTGTCTACCAATGAGTACCATGACTGAGTCAGTAATGTTGCCTGTTGTGATGGCCGATGGCACATGGTGATGTTCGTCGATCACTCTTTCTCGGCATAGGCCTACACTGCTGACTGGACCAGACAAGTGGCATAAACAATGATACTATCTGACTATGGAATAGACAAAGACAGTGTCACCGGCTAAATGAAACAAGACTAGGCCTAGGCTTTAACCTTAACAGTCCTCAACATCAACACAACCCTCCAATTGACTGATTGCGCCTGCTAAATCACGTGACCTACATATAAAGTGGGTATCAGCCCCATAACAACGTGTGTTTTGAGTGTTGTTTTACAAACTATACAGCCAGGTTACGGTTTAGTACCCATTTGTATCCGTAGTCCGAGTACGGTACCTACCGTCTGCGTTATTTTTGGTAAATGATACTTACGAAACACTTTGCTTTTGAGGGACGTCGTGTTTGTTGATTTCAATACCCACTATAGGTCACGTGACTTAGCGGGCACAATTGGTCTATTAAAGGATTGAGGTCTGTTACTAGGGTTAATGATATTAAGCTGACTCTGGGTAAACAGTGTCCTCTTTGACGCATATACACAACTTATTGCATAAAGGCTGTTACCTTATTCTGTTATTACATTCAAGCTGGGTGTGTAGTGCAGTGGATAGAGCTCACTTGACAATGCTTGATGCGATTGGATGTGCTGTAAGTTGGGTTCAAGTCTCAGCTATTGCCGTCAGCTTCTCTTTTTTTCCGTCCCAAAAATTCAGAATAGTCTTTTATTATTTCAAAATTGACTCCAACATTTAATTACAGAGTATTTTCTTTTTCTGATTGGTGGCTCTCAGGACTTGTTTTTTAAAGGGAATTAAGTCCAAAACTGTAAAAGGGTCTGATTCCCACCTTGTGAATACAAAGTCACAACCACCATGTACGTTTAGGAACTGAACCAGACCAAGATTAGTTACCATAAGAACTACTGTGCATGTGTCCGGCTAAATATCATTCAGTTGCATTCAGTCGGTGACTACTAAATATCCACAGCCATTAAAAAAAACATAGAAAGCATACAGCTGTCCACTGGATAGTAGCTAATCTTTGTGATTAGAAATTAGTCTTCTAAGACTTTTATAATGAAGATTTCTCTGCAAAGTGCACGGTGAAGTAACCTATGTGTTGTGACTGAACTAGGAGCAGTTATTTTCTCAACAGCTAATCAGTGTTTGTGATTTATTGATTAGTTTTACCATAGCATGTAATGATTCATGTATTTGTATTTTCTAGATACATCAGGAACTGCTAGCAAAGTTGAACATTCGGCAGTGGAAAAAATACCCGAGTGTGCAGTGTGTCTCCAGACTTGTGTCCATCCGGTTCAACTTCCTTGCAGTCACATCTTCTGCTTCCTCTGCGTCAAGGGGGCTGCCAACCAGAGCAGTCGATGTGCCCTCTGCAGGCAGGGAATTCCTGTTGAATTTTTCAACAACCCGACCCTCGTCGGCAAGAAAGATGTGTCTGCCCAGGGCTTTGAGTGCGATGCGCAGACCGAGACCTACGCGTGGTTTTACGAGGGCCGGAACGGGTGGTGGCAGTATGATGAGCGGACCAACGCCGAGCTGGAGGAGAGCTACAATGCCAAGAAGCGAACGTTTGAGCTACTCATCGCCGGGTTCATGTATGTCATCGACTTGGACAACATGGTGCAGATGAGGAGGAATGACCCTTCGCGTCGCCGTCGGATCAAGAGGGACTTGGTCAGTGCCCCAAAGAAGGGAATTGCTGGATTGAAGATTGCTGCTCGGCTGGAGGCCACGGCGGAGACTGTAGAGGTCCCACAGACTGCCAAGAAGGAAAAGGATGAAACTGCCGCTGGTGAGATGCCCTCAACAGCAAGTGGCACTTTGGTGAAAGCAGCGACTTCCAGTGGCCTGGGTCGCACCACGTCAAGGTCGGCAGGTGTGGGAAGAGACCAGGAGCATGGGGATCCAAGGAGTGTGCCTTCTGATCAGTATGACGCGGATGATGATTATGATGGAACAGATGACGAGGACACCAACAGTGCACAGTGGCGGTCGCAGCAAGAGCCCGCTCCGAGATTCAGACCACAGCAGCGAGGTAGCAGACTAGCGGGCAATGCTCGGGACCCACCGGCCGGCACAAGACAGCTGGCCACGTCGGGCGCCAGAGCCCAACCCCAGGGTCTGCCTGTCAGGCACCAGCGCGTGAGCTCGGCCCCCGAGACACGCCCAGGAAGACATGAACGCCCCAGGCAGGCGCTGGTTGAAGGTAGCAATCCACTGCCGCAACGTGCTGACTCCGCTCATGTTGAAAGTGCAATGCAATCGCTTCAGCTATCCACACCCAACGCTTCCGTGTATGAGGCAGTGGAAGCCCCATCGCAGCCGGCCCAGGGAGAGGTTCGCCAGCGTAGGCGCCGTCAAAGACAGAACGATGATATATGGTGCTGATCAGAAAGGTACCATTAGTCGGCTAAACCACGCGCTTTATGTTTCCCACTTTATTGACTTCTTGGGAAAACAAGGCGGGACATGATTTTACATCAAACTTATAATATCTCTTGATTCACACAGAAAAATATAACGTATTTATTGTGGCCTCCTTGTGTATTATTTGTGTATTAAACAAATTTATGTCTTCATTCAAACTCTGCAGACATTTTATTAGTATAATTTAAAATAAAACTTTATGATATGCTAACTTATACACCTGTAATGTGCTTAGAATTCTTTTGTTCATTAGTGAAGTCCATAATACACCTGAGAAGTTAACATTTATAAAAATTATGTTTGAAGCATTTGGTGGGCCCCATTCGTGAGACATTCCTACATGTACATGCCATTTGAGTTGACATTAGGGTTGTGATGAGTACCCGACGAGTACCCATTTTTTAATCCAATCTCAGCCGTGTAAATTTAGAATGTTTCAGAAAATGAAAATCTTATTGCTTAATTGAAAAATGAAATAACCTTTGTTTTCAACGTCCAGAGAAAGCCTTTGGAATGTCAGCTCATGGGCAAGGCAAATTACATCCAAATCCAGTTTGAGTGTATGGACGGTTAATGGGAATCAGTAAAAGGGGCTGCAACACTTCAAATGTCCATGCAACGTTGCAAACTGTGCATAGTCAATAGAACGATCATTAACCTTAACACTCCTCAGTCCTCCAACAGGTGAAGGATTGAGGAGTTAGGGTTAAGGGCCAACCCACAGTTTTCTGACCATTCACAGCTGTGTTTTATATCCGACATGCGTGGACTAAAATCTTGACGTGCGTGCATGCGCAGAGGATGCATGCGACTGGAACCTGTAATGTGGCATTGGAAACGAGCACGTGCCAAGTGCCCGCATGCGCAGTGGGCTGGGCTCACTGGATCGGTCTACTGCTCACAGTGCTTTAATAACCCCTGCTTATAGTTAACAATCTGGTTATTGCAGTCACAACATGGATGGGAGTTTTCAGGCAGTATGCACCTACACTTTTTTTTTTCTCCAATGAGATTTCTCAGGTCTTTGGTTCTTGACCTCTCAAAAGAGTCTGGTTTAAACTGGGGTAGAGCCATGTTGACCATTCGAGAGCCTCTTAATCAGTGCCAGAACTGAAACGATACAAGTGATAGCCATATTTTCTGGGTATTTCGTTGAAAAGCTTCCTGTAAAATCTTTGCCAAATAATTCCAGTGCTGTGCGGTAAAATCAATGGGCAAAACATCTTTCAGCTTTGAACTTTGGGTCTCGGAATGTGTTTAAGATGAAGGCATACGTGTTCATTATTGGTGCAAATGTGAACACAACTTCATTGACACCACATCAAATGTTTTGTGCTGTGAATTGGCAAACGTCAAATGCACATCAAGTGAATTCTGCTTCGAATGCTTTGTGACATGAAACGTGATCTCCTTCACGTTTGTGCTGAGTAGAAATCAGGTTCAGCAATGGCCTGAATATATAAGGTCCCGAATCTATCGTAATACCAAACACTGAAATACCTGTTTAACTTTCATTTCCCCAGGCCAAATGCTGGACTGGGGGCATGAACATCCCAGTACATATACATGTAATATGGACGCCAATCATATTTCTCTACTTAATTGAATGCCACTCGGCCATAACAAATAAACCCAGCGTTTGCTTCAAATTGTAACCGCTGCATTGTAAACCTGTGCATTTTGTGCTTATTAAATTCTCTGCATAGATAAAAGCGTGGAATGTATTTATGTGTGAGTTATTGACACCATCAGCCCTATGAATTTTGCACAATGAATTCCGCTGTCACTTTTTTCACTCCCTATCTTTTTATGAGCATTTGCTGAGTGTTTACTCGATCAAAAAAGGTCCCAATCCTCATTTTTATGTTGCCCTTTGAGTGATCATTTAGGAACAAACTCCCAAATGGCTTCCGACCAAAAAGGAGTCTTCTACCTACAACAGTTTTTTTCTTTTTTTCAAGAAGTTTGTATGTACATGCAATGCACCAAAATGTTAGAGATGTAATAAGCATATAGTAAAAACATTTAGAAACACAGACTACATGTTCCATAGATCTTAATGCATAAGTTTAAAAGTTCACCTAACATGGCAAAAGCTATGAGTTGATGAGTTTTGTTGATTGTCAAGTTGCATGCATATATTTATGCTGAAACTCAATTCACCTGCACTTTAATAGCAAGTTGCAACTCCTTTGACTCAAAAGCACACTGTTTCTGTTCAAAAATGTTCAAACTGTGTTCATGAACTCACCAGATCATTTTTAGGAGTTTCAGGAGCAACGACTCTCGCCTCTTATGAACACAGGATATTCAGGGCTGTGCTGCGATCATAACCAGGAACTTCTTCCATTGTTTGTTGCATATTGTTTGGTAGGTGTTATTGACTGCAGCTACTTGCATAGAGGCTTTTCGTGGTAGCCATCTTCCAAGGCAGATCTTTTGTTTCACAGGGAAACTTCCTTTGTGAATACCCTGTGGCACAAAAGCAAGGGCCTGCAACATGGCTGCCATGCAAACCCTCTATACAGGCTTTCATTGTGTACTTGGTTACGACTTCCAAAATATAGTTTTCATTTCGGGTATACCAAAACATAACCACCAAAGAACGGGTTTGAACAGAGCTCTTAAGCACCATGCTGAATATCACACACATTGAGTTTTCCTAAGTAAATGCTGATACTGCAGAGGAAATTACTTATTAGTGAATGTTCCCGAGAGTTTTTCTTGTTCATACCAAGAATAAGAAATCAAGTCTGAAGAGAACTGTAACTCCTAGACTGAATTAAACTCAATTCCAAAATGCTACAGTAGCCCAATCCCACTTAGCTCTTGACGGATTTGGGCGTCTTGGACCTCAGGGACTTAGCTGATCCCTTGGGCAAGTCCCTGCCCAGGGAGTTCTTGCCTCCCCCTCCCCCACTCTTTGTGCTGGCGGTCTTGCTTCTGGCCGGCAGGCGGGGTGGAGACTTGGTGCGCGGGGGCGGTCCTAAGGCTGCTGGGCGGGGCAGGGCGGTCTTCTCAAAGTAGTAGTCCAGGTCCTCGTGGGTCTCTTCCACCTTTGCCTGGAGCAGACGCTCGGTGTGGCTGCCTCGGAGGTTTGTGGCCTCCCGGATCGCCCGAGAAAGAATCTGTCAGACGCAACAAATTACCAACCAAGAAATCAAAAGATTTGGGAAACAATACAAATAACTTCAAACCCTATCATGCTATGGATCTACGTATCACCATTTTCAAAACCCTTGGGCTAGATTTTGTTCAACCATTTGGAGACGGTATCACTGCACAAGAAACGTTTTCCAGGACAAAGCAAACTGTTCAACAGCAAGTATCTTTGCAGGGTTTTGATCAAAACACATTAAACAATGACATAATACGGCCGTTTTTCAATAGTGCGCCACCAAGAGTTTGCAACGCCTTGGCCAATCACAATGCGTGAAATTTGTCGACCCAATGCGCGTTTGAAAAGGGTCAACAAATTTCAATTGGTGGCGCACTGTTGTGAATCGCCCGTATTATGCCACATGAGGGACTGCAAGTTTCAATGTTGGTTTTTTTTTTGGTCAACAATTTTCCAATATGCTCACCTCCTGTTGGAGTGGTCCCCCTGATTCCTCCAGAGCGACCAGGGGTCTGTCAGCATCCGGCTCCTGTCGCAGCAGCTCCTCTCTCTCAGCCTGCAGGGCCTCCATGCGGGCCTGCTCTTCCCCTTCAATGGCCGCCAGCTTCTGGTCGTACTCCCAAATGTGTTGTGGCTTGCTTTCCTAATGGTGGATGCAAAAGTTCAAAGTACCCACTGGACTGGTGGGACTGAAGCCAGTGTCCCCCCAAGGGAGGTTGGTGCCCCTTCGAGTGCCCTCCCCCCCTTTGAAATTTTGAGATGTACAAGTCACAGTTCCCTGTACGTTTTTGGTGCCCCATGGAACAATGTGTGCACCCCTACGTACCCTCCTAGAAATTCACCCTAGTTTACGCCACTGATTACGAGTATTCCAACATAGGGTAACAGCTATGGCAGCAACACTAGGAGATTTTACCAGACCTTTCTTCACATTATGGGACATATGCCAAAGCCACTCTTTGGAACAGACATTATTCACAAGGAAGCCATTTTTATCATGTTCCCCGAATCCATCTCATTCAATGTAATCTGTCAAATGGGGTTGTGCCAAATTATTTGGGGTTCCATGCCTCACTTTCATTTTTTATACGTAGCTTAACCACTTGCTGCCGGGTGGTTTGAAAAATGCAGTGCACATAATCAGGACTTTTCCAAGATTTCCAGTTTTCAAAATTCTTCAAAAATTCATCATTTCAATTAATGGACGTTTACACCCACACGAATTCCTGTCTGGTGGCCACTCTAGTCTGACGGACAAAATATACTGATGCCCAAATATTTCAGCCAGGTCTGCAGCCTTGTAAAAAGAGCCCAGATTGTGCGGTGTTATATAACCTTCTTTTGTTCACGAACCTGGCACAGTGCGCCGCTGACCTCTTTTCAATAGGGGCCAGATTAGCATGCAGTGGTGGCGTGTGGCTCATCGCTGCGGTAGTGGAGCGCTTTTGTCCCAGGTGGTAATCCGCTTGCTCTAAATGCCCCAAACCGTGGTATACTGTTTCAAAACAAGGCTGGATTATCTCCACTACTGAAAGTCAAAAAATTTTGGTAATGCCCAGCAGCCTGGTCTTTTGTTCCCGATCTTTTGTTACAAGGCCCAGTTCCCTTTGTCCCATTTCGGGTTCCCCGGCTCCGTGTATAAAGCCTACGTGCTCGAAAACGGGTCCCCCCGGCAGCAAGTGGCTAAAACATTTCAATATAACCAATCACATATTTTAAATAATTTATCATTGTAATTGAAATTAATCTGCACTGAAAATGTTCCACTGCTCTCATTTTTGTTCTGAGGTGCCAAAAAAACCTCGCTTTCAATTCAATATGGCCGACTCGTGAATTAGGTCATGTGCCAAGCCACTTTATGTTTCATACCTTCAAGTGTATAGTATCTGGGGGTGGTTCAACCTCCAGTGCGAGTTTGGTGACCATGAGAGAGCGGGGCTGCATGAAGACAAACTGGTAGAGTCTGTAGTGCCTCATGAAGGTGGCAAAGAGGTGGCTGGTGAAGATCTTCAAGTTCTTATCCGAGATGCGGCCATCCTCAGCGTACTCCAAGGACTTCTGCCGGTACAGCCTGATGGCGTGGCCGAGTGGCTGACCTGCAAGTGAAGTATACACGAGCCATAACCCTTTTCCATTCTTCTGCGCATAGGTAACCTTAACGCCTTCGCTACGGAGGACTGCTACTACCGCAGCATTGTGTGAGGATTAGTGCATACCACACATACAGTCTATTCACCATGTGGCTGCTGGTTCAATGGGGCCTGCTGCTGGACAAAGCCCTCCATTCAGGGCATACCACAGCCCAGCAGTCGCAGTCAAAATAATCCCTCCGTGAAGGGGTTAAAGGTCACGTCACCGGTGTGTGACCTCTTAAATGAACGATTTGAGAGGAGCTCTGTAACCTGGATCAGAGCAGCCTGACCAGCGACACAAAGCAGGCGGATTGTGCTCTCTTGTGACCACACAGTATGCCTGTTACTGCAATGGGACTCCCTAGCTGTGCCATCTCAGCAATACATGTGCACTAATTAATGTAATAGGCCCATTCCACATCACAGCAAATGGAATTTTGTACACATATATTATAGTCAGATCCCACACCATGGATATTCTGGATCGTGTTGATATGCACTTTTATCCATGCGAGATCTATATACGGATTTTCTCAAAGTTGTTTACTGTTGGCAGAGATTTGTAGATGTCCTTTTGCTGACCTTGAGTTTGCTTGACAGCCAAAACTTGTGAACCATGAAGCATATAGAGACCTGTACTTTGCAGCACCATGAAACAAAACTAAAATCTGTGTGGCGCAGGTGGCTACTGCTAAGTCTTTCCACAAAATGCATGCAAGTTTTGGTATAAGGAATAAGGAATTTGATGTAAGAGACAAACCAACTCAGGCACTACTTACCAACTGTCTGTTCTTGCATCTCCCTGGCAAGGTCCAGCACCCCACACACCTGCTGCCAGGGGAAGCCGCGGCTGGCGGCAAACATGAGACTGTCGTGAAGGTAGTCCAGCAGGATCGACTCCCGCATGTTGTCATCTTCGCTGAAGCTGCTCAGGTCCCAGTTGAGGCACCGGGCCAGCTTCAGGCGTCCCTGAGGTTTCTGCAAGTACACGTAATCCAACCAAAGAAATGTCAGCAAAATGTCACTACAATCGTGGACTGGCCTAACTTGCCAGTCTGGATGTGCTTGGCATACAGACTTTCTGCATTTGTCCTCGTAAAGGAGCCGGGGAAAAGGAAAGGAGGATCTCCAAATTCTTTTGATATCAGTGCTGTTTGTTCTGCGGTGGGTCTCATGTTTCTTCCATTCATGCCTGATTTACCACAAATCTGATTGACACCAATATTAGAAAAACTGAAGGGCTGGGGTTCTCATGTATTTTTCAAAGACGGGTCAGCCAAAAAATGTGAACTTTTTCCATTGACATTCTCGTGCACGCAGGCAGACTAGGGCCTAATGAATTTATTGTATTCATAAATATGATAAACTATACATGACGCTAATAACAACGCCTGACGTTTGTGTCAGATTGAATTGAAACTTCACAGTCCAAAAATTACATTAGGCCAAGGCCAGGGAAAGGATGTTGCACCCTGAATCCACTTTTGTCCCGTGATCTCAGCGAAGGTCAGTCATTGCAAAAATATTCAAACGAAAAGAATCCGGGAGTGAACTGAGAAAGATTTCCAATTTTCCTGAGAAAATATTTCGAAAATGCACTAAACTCTCCATGACCATGGACCGTAGACTTTGAACACAATCAACAAAGCGGAGTCAGGACACTGCAAGGTGTCTTTCCTCTTCTCTGGAGAAAATATCTCTTTTTGTGTTTATTAATATTATAGGCCTAGGCAGTAGTAGGCCTACACTGTCTAGGACTTTTGGAAAAAATTCCCTGCAGCAGCTAGCAGCTTCCCACTTCTCACAAGTGTTGGCCCAATTTGAATCTTCAGTGTGAGACATGAGAAACCTGCTGTCTGGCTAGCCTTAAACTCGTCGGAAAATTGTGGTGAAGGTAAGGGGTCACCTTCCCTGTGAATAGCAACCTGCACAGTATCAACATGCTCAGGGGTACCTAAGTACTTAAAGTGGTGAGCATCCCAGGCAACATTTCAGCCCGTCAAGCCGGATAGAGTTCTATTTCCAAGGATGGATTTGTATCGGGAGATCTTAATTTAGGCTAATTTTGGATTTTTTTGCCCTGCCCGACGTGTATTGTAACACACATGGCATGCTTTTTTGTGCATGGTCAGCTGCTAGGCCGGCATGCTGTGACATCGTCGCCAGGACATTATACGTAACATACAGTTCAAACATTTGAACAAGATGGAGACACTGATTTCAAGGAAAAATTTCTCTTTTCTTCCCAAATGTGAATAAACCTTATCATCATTATTGGAATCTCCATTTCTCACTTGGACAGTTGAAGGTCCATTGTAGACTACCCTTACCTACTCAGACTACCCCTGTGCACAAACACGCCTGAAACTACTCCCAGAACTGTGGGGTCCGACACCCCACAGATGCCAGATTCCAGGTCACAGTGGACATGGTGGTGGAATGTCAATGTGAAAAAAAAAATTGGCATGAGGTGAAAAGAAGCTAAATAGGCCCCCCATGTGATTTTTAGAAAAGATGTGATTCTCCAAATATTCATCACACCACGCGGTACATATGTTTTCACACTGTACTTTAGAAATGAACTAAAATTACCGGCAAAGATGCCACTTGTTTTGCATCCTCTGCGCTAATGGAAGCTGCCATTTTGGAACTCGTTGCTAGGCAAAGAATATGCTCAGCCTAGCCAGAATCAACGTGGACAATTGGTGGCGCCCTTCGTAGTAGTACGGCCGCCCGGGCAGGCGAGGGCGGGGCCAGGGAACCAACAAGTTTATACCGAACGCACTCCCCAAGTAAAGTTCTTTTAAAGTTCATGCAGAAAAAAAAAATGGGTTTCCTGCAGTAAATTTCACGAAACTTTATGCAATGGCATATCTTCACTTACACCACAATTTACAGTGGAATTTGAACAAGTTTGGCAAACTTTTAACATATACAGTCGAACTTCGTTAATAACAGGTCCTTTGGACTCTGCAAATTACCTTGTTATATCATAAACCTTGTATTATCAGGAATGAAAACAATGAAAAAGAAAGGATTGGACAAAATAATTTCCTCGTCTTGAGCAGAATCTTGTATTAACTGTGCTCTTATTAACGAGGTTCGACTGTACTTAGCTAAAAACAAACAGCAATTTTTATAGAATTGAATAGAACAAAACTTTTTTTCCGGGCTGCAATGGTTTTGACTAAAGTGAAAACTTTATGTGCAACTCAAATGAAGTTTTGCCAGTTGAAAAACTTTTGAATCTACTTGGAATTACACATTCAATTCCCATACTAGTCAATTTAATTCAAGCTTTGGCAAACAAGTATCAATTAAATGTTTAACATTAGAAATTATAAAAAATTTAGACTTTTGCTTTACAAAAGAGTAACAGAATGACATCAAAACCTAAACTATGATTGACAGAAAGACAGACGAAGCATTAAGCCATGAATTAATGAGATTTTGGAACATCCATGGAGAATGTTCCCAAGTCAGTTCATCAATTACCCTTAATACAATAATGATGTTGCACAGAAGTGAATTGAACATATCAAGGCCATTAAGCACGCAGTATCATTTATAGTGATTTCTACACTGATCTGTTAACATGAACCATTTCAAATGGGATACAGACAAAAGGCATGTTGAATTGTTCCAGCAGAGTTGCACTAATACTGCAAAACAAATGTAACATGCTTACTGACAATTTAAGAATGAGCCCAACAAATATACAAGCCAAAACGTTCCCCCAAAGGAAATTAATGCATCAAAAAATATTATCCTCATTTCTTATAAAAGCAAATTTATATACAAAGATAACTAAACTGACACGACAATAGACTGTGTACAAAACCTTTTGTTATAAATTCTATCACAAAGATACTTTCATGAAACAAGCTAGGATACTACAAAGATACCTTTCAGGAATTTATTGCATGATCCACCAGATGTCAGAGTCGTGATAAATTGTGAACCATTAATACAGGACGCGTCTGTCACTTACGTCTGTAAATGGAGAAACTCAGTCTCCGTCAATTTGAGGATTTCTTATAGTGGGAGTTTATACCATTCAAGAGTTCGGCTCAGCCTGTTTCGCTTGGTTTCTGTCAGAGTGTTTTTTTGGCCTTAATTGTGGTTTCTCCAGTTTGTTTCTTTCCGTGGCGACTGAATTTCATTTCTAGGTCTCTGGTCAGTGTTAGATTATCTTGTGCTGAATCTGCTCTACACAATCATTTTCCTTACATGGTTTACATTAGTTTTAGTACACCTTTTTTCCACATAATTTTTGTGTGTGTGTGTGTCAATGTGTACTGTTAATGTCTGCTGAGGTCGTTAGGTCTGATTTCTTCTCTTTCAAATTGTGCAAGTTTCTCCATTTTTTTATATTTGGGGTTCTTGCTGTTCTTTATTTACTTATTACACTCCAGTCTTGTCTCAAGACCTTTGAAATGTTTCTTTCAGTTCTGCATTTGGACATCAGCATCTTTTCTTCGGGGGCAGGGCTTGGTTGGTTGTTAGGATTTACTTGATGTACGGAATCAGGTTCTGCACAAACCAGGACTCGGTGAACTGCAGGTGGTCGGTGTAAGACGTGAGGAATACCAGCTTTCCTTGCTCGTCCATCTCCTTCAAGCCCAGTTTGTCCTGAGCAAAGTCAAGGAACAAAATAACAAAAGTGACCAGAATGAGACAGATTTACATTGGTGCACTATGGCTTCCATTCTCGACAGTGAGATTCCACAGTTAAAATCCACGGATGCACACAGAAATGGGAGGGCCGAGTCAGAAGCCAATTCAAATAAATCACACTTGGTTTAACCCTCCTACTTTTGGGGGGCAATCGAATGCTAGATGGGGCCAATATATGATGTAAAATTTACATCTGACTTGTAACACTGTAGTCCCAACAAGCCAACCCGTAGGTCATCCAGTTATGAGCCGAGCCACAAGCGGATCAAAGAAATTGGGTGACAATCTGTCATCCCTCTGCATGTGACTGGACTTGAGATAACCTCATCCACAGCCCGGTAGTTAAGTGGCTATTCAACATTACCAGAGGGGTTGGTGAGGGTGTGTGGGTGTAGGGGGGTCAACAAAGTAAAAAAAGCAGCAGCTGAAACAATGTACAGAACTTTCTCTGGTACTAAAATCTTTATGACCACTGCCAGGTTCTGGTATCCCAAGCAAGCAGAAAAAGACAAGTGCAACTGATCAAAAAGCTGGTCTCTTCTTTCCTGTTTAGTGAAAAGTCAAACCTTTGCCTCTATTTGATACCTTCTGGTAAATTCAACTACTGAAAATAAGACTATTTGCACAGACTTGCTGTTCAACCCCCTTTGTTCAAAGACCACTCCGGACAGGTTTGAACAAATTAGCAGTGCCGTTGGGCAAAGGGTTTCATCAAGCACAACAACCCATCCCAGTTTCCACTCTGGGTAGTGACTGCCCTCTGGGTGGAGGACACAGAGGCAAGCTGCTATCACCCTCCCATGACTCCACATGGCTCATCTTACCTCTGTGTAAAGTGGGCTCTCCTTCAGTGTGTACACCTCCTTATCCTGTCCAGGCTCGTAGAAGCCAAACCACTACAAATGGGGGGGGTAATAAATGTAACTCTCAATATTTTAAAGACTGAAGTGAAGTACCTGTGCTAAAACACCCATACTTACGTTACATACTTAGTTTGAACATGCCTTTGTTTTCATGTAGTTACGAAAAATTGGTGAAACTACTCATTTTTCTTGAACTGGAAACACGATTTCCGGCTGGATTATTGTCAAAGGTTCCTTGACTGTTCCTTTTACGACAGATGGCCCTAACCCCAAAATGCCTCTAAACTTCCTTTTCAGAGAAGGGGAAACGTCTCGTGGACATTGGTAAGTCAGCAGAACATCTTCCCTTCCTGCATCATATCGACATCATTTGTCCACAAGTACACATTAGGTATGTAAGGTTAGCACACACCATCAGCCTCAACAGAGTTACACTACAAAATAAGAAAGACCTATGAAGGCCATCACAGGACCCCATGGGCCATCACAGGACCCCATGGGCCATCAAAAGACCAACAAAAAATCTCCAGTCTCGGTTCAAGTCACAAGCTATTCAAATGAACTGCAACAAAAGCATTCCTTTGTCATTGTTCAACCTGTTACATGTACTAGTGATGGGTCCTGTAGCTAAGTTTGTGACTGGTCTTGCATCCAGTCTCGACAACAAAACACTGTCAAAGTCACTCCATTAGGAGTCTCGTGTGAAGTGTGGTCTCTTTTAAAGCCTGTTGTGTGCAAGGTGCTGTAACATCTGGCTACCTGACCCAGTATCAAACCAACACAGGAAAAGAAGGTATTCCTGGTATCTGTTATTTGCAGCTTGATGTCACTGACTGAATTTTGTGACCTTTGTGTGATAGTGGCATCGTGTTAATACCTCGCTCTCCTTGGGTTGAACCATGGTGTCGTTGCCAAACATTACCATCACAAACTTCTTCAGCTTCTGGAGGTTGGTCTTGTATGTTTCGTTGACTTTCTGAAAACCAACGTCACATAAAAAGCCACTGAAAGATTTGGTCCTATGGAAAGGCTGCATGTTGGGAGCCTGGACAGATATATATCGCAACAAGCCCTCCATTTGCAAGTTCCAAGGAACATAACCACGTTTCCCTGGAAGAACCTTGCACCTTCTACAAAAAAACCAAATTTCTTGGGCATGCTCTGAATCCCACCTGCGTAGTTCATCTTGGCTATTATTTCAATGTTTCTAACTGACTGGTCCAGCAGTGTTAAGCTACAAGAAACCAGCAGTGGTTCATGCACATGATCAGTGGGGGTACCAATGACTTGCCTTAGAAATATTTGGATGATGCATTTATCCTTTATCCTCACAACTAACATTTTACTATCCTTCATATTTTCAAAAATTTTTGAAGTCCCCTTGTAAATTATGGGAGATTACACAAGCACCTGTGATTTTGAGGTTTCCACATAATACAGAAATCATAATTTTCTTTGGTACAGGGAAATCAATTTTTAAAGCTTCATCTAATCAAACATTCATGTACTTGATATCAGTTTTGGTGTGAGGATTTGGTGGGACCTTCATGTTTTTTTTTTTATTAAAATACTTCAGCTGTGGCAGACGGTTCCTTACCCTCTCCTGGTTGATGTCAGCCAGATAGATGCTCTTCTGTCGATACTCCTCCTCGTTCAGAGGGTCGTGCCAGTATTCAGCTTGCACAATACTGCCACAAAAAAGTAAAATCCCAGGGAGGTTATAAAAGGACTAGGAACTGCAGTACCAGACTGTTAGTGTCAGGAACCAGCTCTATATAATGGGACTTGGTACCAGTAACCATCTCGGAAGGAAACTGCTCAAAGGCAGTTTAAAACAGTTTGCACAATGTGGAGGCACATAAGCAAACGAATTGTGTTCCACCGACTGACAATCCCCTTGCTTCACATCACAAGCTGTAACTGATTAATCGGTTATTAATTAAAGGAAAGTTCTATTTTGATTTATTTTCTTGGACGTTTCAATAGAAAGGCTACAGAAAATTATTAATTTGGTCAATTTTGTTCTTGAGAGGGTGTTTCACCTGCTGATAACACTGATAAAAAAGAGGATTTTCTTTGTAACGTTTGTGTAGCTCATAGGGATGTTAATATGTACCACATGCCATTTCACCACATCAAGAGAAAATGTAGTCCTGGAATTTTCTTGGGGAAATCATATAGGTTTCTGCATAACTCATTTACGACTGCTACCAAACAATAGAAAGAAGATGACTCACTTGTCCTGCACGGAACTGTCCATTTTCGATGTCACGAACAGAAAAGAAACAAGGGGAAAGAAAGTTACAATTAATGAAACATGGAATCAATATCCATAATCAGTTAACCAAAAAGGCGAAAAGTTTTGTTTGGCGAACTACTACTACTACGAACTACCAATAAAAATGAAATATGAGTCAACATTCAAGTCACAAAAGGATATTCTCTGGCATCCCTCAATTGTGATATGACAAAACATTCTCAGAGGCTGCAGAAATGAACTCTTTTCTTGAAAGACGAGATTACTCACGGTAGGTAGGCACCAAAGTTCAGCAATTTCCTGATGTATTCGCAGATAGAGCTGTAGTTGCCAGGGCATCTCGGGAAACCAAAGACGCCTAAAAAAGAGACAAGAGCTCAAATTCTCTCCCTCAACTAAATTGAAAATGTAGGTTTACCATGCGGAAAGTGCAGGTACCGGGCAGAGAGTTTGACCTAATGGCAAAGAAATCAGTGTAATCCAGTTTAAAATGTAACTATTTTTGGAGGGGGTTTCAATGAAGAAAATGGCTACGTAGGGATTCGAAACTGCAACCTTTGGAATAAAATACTGAAGTCCTGCCAACTAAAACTATACAGCCTTATGCGCTCCAAATTAGTTGATGTTTGGGTACGGAACTAAGCATTTAAAAAAAATGAAAAAGAAAATAATTGGAAAAATGGAAGAAATACCAAACTGCACAAGACTTTAAACAGCATTTAGTGATTTGTAATGGCACATGAGACATGAAAGAATAACGAAATTGGCTGACTAAAGGAAGGGTTACATGTCCGAATGCTAAATACAGATACATTTCCCTGCCATGCAAGAAGATATGCAAGAAGAATATATGGACATATTCATGCAACATTGAATGGCTACAAAAGTAAAACCATCACAGGAGAAATAAATTTCAAGTCTATCCATTAGGTATGCGGTTTTCCTTAAAATAGATATTGTGACCAAAGAGAGAAGCAAATTCAGAGAAACTCATCATTAAGTGTCAAACAATCGAATCCATGAGGAAGGCCATATCTTCTATGGTCCAACAATAAGACTGCCTCATGTGGTCACGCATGGGAGCATGGTTGCAAGTCTTGTTTGGCATTTTACCTTGGTGCTGTCCTCCAACCGAAATGAGGTTGAACATGGGAGGGGTTGGGCATCTCTGGGCCACTGTTCTCCTTCAGAGACAAAAAAAGGATCACCAAATGTAACAAGATGAGTCATAAGTCATTAAGACAACTTCTGACTTGAAGGCCTTTATTAATTAATCCATTATTAGGTGTCAACCCTAACCACTTCCGTCTAACAAAATCTTCCTTTTCATCAGGATATCACGCCTTGTGATACATCAAAATGAGCTCAGATTGTTATGTTTAAAGGCGCCTTGCCATATGCTCATCAGCACTTGTGCCAAGCATTGCGTATCCATCAAAATCACCCTGGGAGCGATTGTGACAGCCGAATACACAATGTACACATATGTTATCTGAATGGGTCTATTTCTGAGTGATAGTGAAACACTTGAACTTATTGTGTACAACACCCATCATAAAATGGAAAGGCACCTTTGTGAACACTAAAACAAAATCACTGGTGAAAAATAATGTTCTTTTCCCTTAAAAATTAAGGAGCATAGTTCATGTCAACCCTAACCTTCCTGGATAGTTTGGTTGGACTGCCACAAATCAGTCTGCATCATTGTAAAAGTGGCTAACCTGCTCAGTGGTACAAGATCCAACAGGTCAACCCTCCCCAAGGCCAAACAGCCAGGGAGACTGTGGTTGTCAGTCACCACAAGATCCAACAGGTCAACTCTCCCTCAAGGGGCCAAACAGCCTGGGAATCTGTGGTTGTCAGTTACCAAGATCCAACAGTGGCACTCTTCAATGGGACTAGTTATGACCAGTTTGTTCCGCTCAGCCCGCTGCTTTTGATTGCCCAATGCATCAAAGTGCATTGGACTTTTTTTTACCTGATGCACGTGCTGCATTAGCAGGATTAGGGTTTATAGAAAAGATTAAAGCTTGTTAAGTTTAATTGGGCTATACCATGTTGAATCTGACAAGACTCTGTGATTTACAGTAACTCTTGAGGGCTAAAGCTATTGACAATGGACAAGATTGTGAAACGTGCACATTTTCCATTGGTACAAGTACTAAAAACTTGTTTGTTTTAAGATTTCACATGACATGCATGTGCCAACGTTCAAGCATTTAGTGCACATGTTCCACGACACTAGAAAACTCTCTCAGCAAAGCCACTAGAAAACAAACAATAGGGGAAAATAAGTGACTGATTAAAGCATGGACCAAGTCTGACATGTAAAACAGCCACATATGAGGTTGAAGATGGGGTCACAGTTCATGGCTAGACAAATACAGCCGCAGTCCAGGGGCAACTGGGCAAGCTGAAGTACATGTACAAGTATTTCAAGGTTTAGTTCTCTTTGCCTGAACTCCCATGTGAGGTTTGGGTGCCCTATCTTGATGTTGAAGAGTTTGCTTAAACAGCAGGTCATAGCCTGATGTGTTGGACTAGTCAAAAGATACGAAACAAGGTTTCTTGGTCTTAAGTACAAGGTTCCAGCAGCCTGTTGGAGCTCTTAAGTTTGACCTGGGTTACTTAGTGCAAGCTACAGCATCAGCATGAAATGTGAGGTTTTAATGCTTAATGCCAGCACCACAAAATTGGTGATGGTGCCTAAGACACAAGCGTTACGAAACAGTGGCACCTGGGGTGAAAAGAACGCTTATTCTAGCCAGGGGGAAACAGTCAACTAACTCACAGAAATTGACCTCCTTGCGAGAAGCCCATGGAGTTGTAGCCCTTGGCCAGCTTGGGGTCCGACCGGATCTTCTGGCAGGCCATCTCCACTTGCTTATTAGCGTTCATCAGAAATCCATTCAAGGTGTCCTTAAAGTGAGACAGCGATGAAATTAATTTGAGGAACAGTTTTTCTGGAAATTTATACTCTTCTTTAATGTACGAAAACTGACTCACATCCCTCTAAGTTAAAGGTGTTGAAAAGTGCACTTTTTAAAAACATTTGAAATGATCCCAATTTTCCTGGACAACCGAGGGCACTATTGCTGTGATGTCATCTAGAGAAGACACATTTCAGTGCATAGGTTTCTCTGTTCAAATTGTGAACCCAGAATTTACTCACTGACAACATTCTATGAAAGGGTTATTTGCTTAGTTATTGCTATGTGCTTACACAACAACGTATCACAAAGAAAAGGAAATTGAGGCCGGCAACATCTAAAAAATGCAGCAGTTTTAGTGCACAAACTTGTAACTTTGAGATTTCTTGTTTAGATGACATCAGTTTTGCTGATGAATATAGACACATTCATTAAAAACAAAAAGGCAGCAAGATCCCTTTAAACCAGTGAAACCAAAAGGGACAATAAGGCTGTCGGAGACATTAATGTGCATTTTAAAGTTTGTGTCGGAAAACCTTCCACTGCAGAGACCAATAGCGGGAAGCGAAACACAAATCAGTTTAACTGAAATGCTGACAGGATACCTGTAGATATGCAAAATGACAATATCTTGTCCAACAACTACCACCGACAAGCCACTATGCAGATTCTAATTTAACAGTTATTATCCTGACTCTAAAGTCCTGACTGCACCCAGTGTAGGAAAAACATATTTGTTTATCACTGGAAATGTATCTTACTCAGATGGGGGGGGGAGTAAAAGAGAAGTGTGATTACGATGTAACTTTGTTACAGCAAAACTAAAGCTGCATCGGTCCGAACTAAAGAAGGGACAATATAAACTAACCAGCTATTACATGTAAGTGCTGGCCACTACAGTGCTGTATTCCAACCGTGCTCAAAATCAATACCAAACAAGTTGTTGGCAGTGTATAAACTCTAAGCAGACAAACCTCAATGATGTTGTTGCCAATCTCCAGCGACCTCACGTAGATACCCGGGACTTCCTTCTCTACCAGAGTCTGGATGCGGCCCAAGCTGAGGGGATTGCAACAGCTGTCCCCTGGGGTTAAAAGAGAGGGGGAAAAATTAAAGTCTTACTTGATTTAGAGAGCTGGGAATTCCATCCAACAGAGGGGAGACTGGAGGAAAATCCGCAGAAAAATCACCAGAGATTTTGAGGGCCCAAACAGCAGCATGGGGTCTATGGTATACGTTTTGTTTTTGCTAAACGCATCCCTTAAAATACCAATTTCTTCCGTTCTTTATCAACTTTACATGAAAAACACACATTAAGATAAACTTGAAGTTTTCTGAATTCTTAAGAGATTGTTTGAAAAATTCTGAAATCAGGAAAATCTGGATGAAAAAAATCCTGAAATTAGGAAACTCCGAAAGAACAAATCCTGAAATAAGGAACAAATCTCACCCATGATCCAATTGTGGAGAATTTCTCTGTGTAGGGAAAATGTGTGGAGAAACACAGATCCCTGATAAGAGAGATCTGTCTCCTGATTAGGAGAAATGCAAACAAAAGCGATGCTGGTGCCCTTCATTATATTATAAATTCATGCTGGTAAGTCAGGGGGACCGGGATGACCAAAATGACCAAATCCTAAAATTGCCTGGCCATTCTTGTGGTTGGGATGACATCACTAAGTCTTGATTCTTCTCTCTGATTGGTCAATTGGTGGCTACTCCATACATGTACTTCACACTCGAAACTCAAAGGGACAAAAATAGTGTTGCCGTCTATCATGTCTATGGGGAAAGTCTGAATTATGGACTAAACTCTAAACCTTTATGCCTACATCAAATATGCCCATGAATATTGAATTGTGAATGTCTCCCACACTGCACCAAAAATGTTTCAGTTATTTTTATCATAATGCAGCAAAAAATGAGGAAAACATGCAAATCCCTGTACAAAGTGAATGGAGAGTGCCCCTTTGCTCAGACGTGAGTGCAATTAATGGAACAACCTCCGACTGCGAGAATGGGCATGATACTCATACTCACGCACACATACCTACACTGTACTTCACGTGCTTTTGAGTCAACTCATAACCTTGGGCAACTCATAAATTGGATGACTCATACTTTGGATGACTTGTACCATGGGCAACTCGTACCTCAGACAACTCGTACCTCGAGTTAAGACCACTAGTACCTTCATGTTATCAGTTCCGTTTCTAACTTTCTTACTCTTCCTTACTTCCAAGGAAAAATTTTCATAAATCTCTCGGAGAGATCTTGAGCACCAACATGATTTTCTGTAGTGCCTACCATGGGCATTTGCACCGTCAGTTTACGTGATGGTTGTCGGACAGCCCGACTGTTTACCAACTTGACTTCTTCTTAATATCCTTTTTTGGGGGGAAGGGGGGAGAAAGGAGAAGAAACTTTCCTAAACTCTAAATTATTTTTTAGCAGAGGGGACTTGAATTTATTCTTATGACTCTGGGAAAAAGTTACTGGACTTTTTCATGTTGTGGAGGAATGATAGCTTTGTTTAGGAACTTTTTTGGGGTTGTGCTGAATAAAACTTGTTATGTCTTGATTTCTTTTGGAAATGTTTCTGGTCTTGATTTTTAATTGGGGGGGTGGTTGTCTTCCTTATTACATTTTTTTTGGGGGGGACAAGTTACAACGGACATTACTTTATAAACTTTGGTTTAGGAATTTCAGAACGAACCATGGACTGCTCCAATGGAGGGGTTGCTTCATTTTCATGACGTGAGCTGGAAATTGAAAACTTATCTTTGCTTGAACATATTTCTTTTGTCCTTTTTTATTCAAGGGCACATTTTGAGGCTTGTTTTTAATCTGCCTTTTCACAGTCAACTGATCATTGAGAAAACCGTATGCTCTGCTCATCTTAAGCATGTCTCGAGTCACCAACATGAGGTTCTGCTAAAAATGCTCCAGCAATTAAAATAATTTCGTCATCATATCTTTCGATGAAAAAAATTTCTCCTGAAGAATATCCAAGCCAATATTTCATGTTGTAAATGCAATCAGACATGTCAGATTTGGGACCAAATTACAGACGAAAGTGGACGGAAAATTGCCCCAGAATGCACCACAGAGCATCGAGAATCCAAAATTTTCCAGGGCCCTTAAGCGGGCCCCGTACCCCAAGCCGTAAGGGCTTAGCCTTCGTGCTTTGTGCTCGCAATTTTGTCTACCGCCCTGCCAAAAATTTCGACCGTGGAGAACACTGTTAGTTACCAAATTTTCCGCAAAATTTTGTACCCTTTATATCCTGGACTCCCTCCGTAACGTAGTACGGTCAGGGAGTCCACCTGGGCTAACCCGTTCCCCTTCACGCGTCACACAGAGATCCTAAGCTTCGTACACATCGAATGATCCACTTCTATTTCTAACCGGTACCGTGACCTCTGTTTACTTTCATGAAATAATTTGATTACAAGCATTTCAACAGAGATTAGACAGCAGTTAATTGACATCAGATATTCTTACCCATGCCGTGCCACATCACAAGTGGCGTTGTGGCCAATGCTGGGGACAAAACGACCAGGAAAAATGCCAAATTCTGCAGCTCCATATCCATTCGACGGTGGTCTTAACAATGGGAGAAGTTCAGTGAGTGAATACATAGCCAAATGCACCCGACTATATAGTTGTCAAATTGCTTATTGACGTCTGGAAGTAAGACCAAACTGCTGCTCCGTCATGTGACACTCGGACTTTAATGTCACGTGATGTCCAAATTAAGCACTACAATTTCAGGAAGTCACCGCAAGCATCAAGGAAAAGTGGTAATGTGTGTTAATACACATGCTTACATGAAAGGACTGACATTCCACTCAGTACATGAAATAATTTTAGCTTACAAGAAGTCTTTTTCTCAACAAAGTTCGATCAACCTCTGAGACAACAAAGTCGAGAACTGCAGACACCAACTTTTGTGAAAATACACATTTTATTCATTTTCAATCCAGGAACTGTCCAAAAGGACAAATGCCACAATGTTTCAGGCAATTGATACTCCTCACAAAAAATCGATTTGCAAAAAACTCTCCAATCAAGAACTTGCTTACAGTGTGATTTAAACAGAACAAGAGACAAACACCAATTAATTTCAGGGAAATGACCAGAAGCAAAAATAAAATTTTCAAACAGAAATGATGCAATAATATGATAGGAAATTCGGGGGGGGGGAAGCATGCAGGCTGGGCAGATTTAGGAAAAACTGGTGAAAGAAAAACTACACTAAAGGGAAGAAAAACCTGCAATGGAATTTGAAGACTTGAACAAAGAGAAATAAGGTGTGATCAGATTTGTAGACAATGCACTGATATCCATTTTGAATCAATTTAGCACACTGAAAAAGATCTGTTTAAAGTTTATACACGCACATCAACTACACAGATATAGATTCTCTAACTATTGGAGGATTTACGACTTTGGACTTAAGATGTCTGCTGTTTTGAAACAGTTGAAACTATCATCAAGTTACTACGGAATCTTCAACACAGATTCCTGCTTTTCTTAAAAAGATGAAAATAGAGTTATGATATTGCTCTCAGTGCTCTGCATTTTGAGCACAGTGTATAGCTGCATTTGATGCATGTATTTAAAAACTCATCTTACAATTCTGAAGGGTTTTCAAGCTTGCAAAAGTAACCCAAGTTCAACAGTTAATCATGCTAGCGCTCCACTGTTGTGATAAACCTGTAGGTTTTGCAACAATCTATGCTAAGTTTAGGTAAGACAAACGACAGTCAGTAAGGTTAGCCCTATAAGGACCTTCTTGACTATCTCACAGCTGGATATTGGGCAGGATTTCAATTGTTCCAGGCCTGATCTTGGCAAGCATATAAGGATGTTCATTATGAGTACATTTGTGACTTTTCAATTAAATTTTACATACGGTTTCATTGTAATAATACAGTTTAACGGCTCACGTGTTGGCACACATGCATTGAACGTGAAAATGGAAAAAAGCTACTTTGGGCTGACCTCCCTCCAAGAAAATGTGCATTTCGCAGGAAACAAACTTCACTGCAAAAAGATCAACCAACCCCTGCGCTTTAGGAGTGTATATTTACCTGAGATTGTGACAATGTATTGGCCACACAATCATAGTTGCAACAATCCATGTTCCTCAAAATGACAGAAATGTTTAAGTACCTTAGAAACCTTCAACAGTTTAAAAAACAATCAAGTTATGGACATTTTGAGTAAGATTGCTGCTACTAGTGACATCGTCAGCTGTGTTTGATTCCGAAAAAAATGCCAATAGTTCCTATGTCATAATTATCGGCTTGGTACAACAAATTCCTTCCAAAAGTCCAACTCTTTCTTGGAAAACTTCTACGAGAGTTTGCTCTTGTTCAAAACATCATTCAACCATTAACTATCCAACATACATTTTTCACTTTGCTAATTTAATTTCTCCGGCCATTTATAATCCTAATTGTTTTTAGCATCAATTGATAGGAAAATTATTCTTCTGTGCATTGTACCATGTAGCACCAACCGCTGTGACAAACAAAGAACAAAAGAAGAATACCCTATTCTTCCAATGCACGCAAATTTCTCATTAACTACGCAATGCTCTGTGCACCACATGCATGGCAGGACCTGCTTGATAAACAGCTCAACGCACATGAAAAAAAAAAACACTCAGGATGAAACCTATTACTGCATGAGGGACAAATATGATGGAAAAAATCCTTTTGAGGTATACAATTGAATTTTATCCCTGTCCTATTTTGTGAAAATTCAGCAACTTCCCTGATAACGTGCCAATCCCAAGGTGGCTCACATCAGAGGTACAGAAAAGGACAGACAATGACTTAACAAAACTACCACTTCCCCAAAAAAGACAGATCAATGACATTTGTTAGAGTAATCACTGCACATTCTCTGTGCTTTTGACCCTTTGACGCGAAAGGGCCCTCATGAGGTGCCACACAATAGGTGTGCCTTCCAAAATGGAAAGTGTTAATCTACAAAAAAGAGAAATCCACCTTTTTAAATACCTGAAAAGAGTACAAGTTCCCTTGTCTTTCCACTGAGAAAGAAAACGTACCAATAAAAACAGAAAAGATTTACATGGAGAAAAAAATTCTGAAGTGTTGCCTGTGGTAAAGAAGTTGTATCCTGCACATTTGAACAAAGTCTTTGGGTACTGTGACCTCACACTGTCCTTACACAGTGACAAAATGACGATGCCTATAAACTGCACAATTATGTGATGTTTACTGACTGTTCTTCAACTGGTGCCTTGGACCAATCACAGCCTTGGACCAATCAGAGCATTGGACCAATCAGAACCTTGGACCAATCACAGCCTTGGACCAATCAGAGCCTTGTACCAATCAGAGCCCTGGACCAATCAGAGCCTTGGACCAATCAGAGCCCTGTACCAATCAGAGCCCTGGACCAATAAGAGCCTTGGACCAATCAGAGCCCTGGACCAATCAGAGCCTTAGACCAATCAGAGCCTTGGACCAATCAGAGCCTTGCATGTAGATTGCATTTTCAATCAGCTACAACTGTCTCTCTTGCAGCCTTGTACAGGAGTCAGAATAATCCTGCTTGTCTGGAATGTCTCATGGTCAATGCCTGCCAGCCCTACGATGATGCGCTGTCAAAGAAACAAAAATTAGGAACTCAATGAACTTCAGTCATGCCACATTGTGCTGGAAAACTGGATGCCTTTTTCCCTTGAACTCAAACCATAAAATAAAGGGTAAAGTAACCCCCGCAGGGAAACCCCCTTACCTGAGCATCTGCTGTAGCCACTGGTACCCTGCTTTCAAGTACGGCAGGGTGGCCGTCCAGAGCAGGACCGAGTAATGGAGGATGCCGTCCCACAATGCCTCAAGGTGAGGGGAAACGGCCGCCCAGAAGGCGATGAGATACGGCGAGAGGAAGTCCCACGCTAAGACCAGGTAGCCCCAGAGGAGATTCCACAGGACAGGAATCTGGGCTTTGATCTGGGTTGCAAAAAAAAGACACGTTCTTATAGTTACCAACATTTCTAACCACATTTGGCAGATTTCAGTAGATTTGGTAAAAAATGCTTGCACAAAGTTGTAGGCATTGCATGGCCTTAATTGATTTTGCCAAAAAAACCCAAAATTTGAAAAAAATCATAATTTGGGGCCAAAATGTCTCTTCCTGAAAACGGTGACGAAATGGTGTCCTTCCCATGGTGTCTCCTCCCTGAGCTATCTCAAAGCTTACCAATTCCAGAGCGATGGGGACATTGTGTGCGAGCCAGGCCCATAATGGTGTGGTCAGCTCGGCCAAGTAGAGAAACAGTGCACACAGCTTGTCCTTCAGCAGAACCAGGTAAGGCCCGCACAACTCGGCTGCCTTCACATAGTAGATGGGTACGTTGACCGACGCCCAGCTGAAAACAAGACACACGCAGGTGTTTGGATGATGCAACTTACAGGTGACTGTCTTCCCTTCCCAACTACCCCCTGCCCCCGAGGGCTGCATCAACCCTCCCATGGTGACAGCATTCCTCTTTTCAGTTGCTCGGCAAATCATGAGAATGACTGAGCATATGATGCTGCCATGTTTGCCTCGCGCCCTGTAGACCCATTTGCAATAGTAAGACAACTTCACAAATTGATAAAAGAGAACAGACTATTTTTTCCTTCCGGGCACAGTCTGGTTACCTGCTTTGAATGGTAGAAAAGCAAGATGGCTGCCCGTAGATAGGGGTCTATTGTACAGTACGATGACTGCATCTCAGTGAGATACGAGTACACGTTTGTGCAGTCCAGAAACTGTGCTCTACTGCTCTAATACGGCAATAAGGAAGGGAGGCTGACTATTTTTTAAATTTCATTCGGACAATTACGCTGTGCAGTGTTGTTTGACGCAGTCCGTAGTTAAAACGATTATCGTGGCCTGGGCCTTAGGGTCGGGCATGCATAGCACAAACCCACGCAAGCAGTTCCGCGTTGCCAAAGCGCCGTGCGCACACTGTACCTGTGCAGAATCATGTTGCGTGTGGAAGGCCCATGCCAACTTGGAGACTGCGGACACATGTGGGTATTTTGTGCTGTGAGGTAACGGGGAGGTTGAAGTCTACATGGACGACTTACTCAAATGCGATACCGAGGTACAGACTGATTTTAGTCCAGGTGTGCTTGCAGACGGCCGAGATGCCCGACCGTTCAAAGAACGCCTGCGTCAGGGAACCTGTTGAAAAACGGAAGGAGGAAAAAAAGACTGCACTTAAAATACCGCCATTCGATCGGCACACAACAAAGTACGAGCTATGACTGTCAGATCACAAATGAACACGGGGGAGCGGGTTAGTGTAGGGGTCCCTCCCTCGCTTTGCACCAATGAGGCCTGGGTTCGAGTCCCGGCTTTGCCCAGGCTTTAAGTGCATTTGGTTTCCAGTCCATACTCGCTCTCGCAGGTTTTCTCCGGGTACTCCGGTTTCCTCCTGCCTCTAAAACTGGACCTTCTTCCTAACTCCTTAATGTGGTGTTGATTGATAAAGGTTATGAATAAACATATAGTTATTGGCACAAACAACCCGAGTAGCTGAAAGCGCCACTGAAACAAAACAACACCAACCACAACAAATGAACATAACAATCAAATGAAAATGTAAAAAAGGCCATGATTTGCCAGAAAACTTTGCAACAGGCAGAAAAAGACCCACGAATGGGTCTGGCAAGTCACAGTGCATTCTTTGATCAGAAATGAAAGTCATAGCACAATATAGATGTTTGAAAATGTCAGAATAGAAAGATCGGTCACCTTTCTAATAATTCACTGTGGATCTTCAAACACAATAATTTTATTTAAAGAGCTCCCCGTTTTCTCTGTTTCTCCGAATGACGCAATCTACATTCAGAATTCGCATCTTAACTTGAATGAAAAAAAAGCCCTTTGTAGCTTGTTATAGATGAGCTCTGAAGACAAATGACAATTTGGATGCTTCCATATTTATACGAACAGATAAAATCAGAGAAAACATGTTTTCCTTAGGGGTGCTCTTTAGGGGTAGTCTGACTTCTACAAAGAGATATTGTCAATATGTTACTCAACATGCACAATTAGCCGGCTTTGTGAATTCTTTAGGGATCTAGGAATCCACTAACTGTTTAGCAAGCGTGATAACAAGCTTATAAATTCTTTAACCATGATGATGAGCATGTACGTGTGGCCATTTTTTACCACACACAGGAGTAAGACCCACACTTTGAGGGTCTGAAGTTTGAGTGGGCTGGAGTCAATTACAGCTAGGATGGGTCTACCGTTACCGTGGAGCCCTTTGTGACTGTAGACATCTAGAGCAACGAATGTGACTAAGGCAAGAACCACTGCTGTCAAGACGCTCCTCCAGGGAAACTCAAACCCGCTCATTCGCTCAAGCAATTCCTGTCATGAAAGCAAAGCACAGAAACAAAGCAAAATGAGGCCGAGTTCATTTAATTACAGATGTGGCCAGGACTGATCAGCGTCCACTTGTCGGCTGCCAGTCAATTTTTACCTGGTGCACAGGTTATCAGGGAAAACTGACGACCGACTGACAAATGGTCCCCTACCAAACTTGACCTATAACTGTCTGCACTGTCTGGGCAGGGTCTCTGAAACTGCTAATTTTCTAGCATTACCTCAACTAAATGAGATTTTTGAAGAGAACTCAGACTCATCCAATGTGGGCCTGAGCTGACAAGCAAGCAAACCGATCCACTCCTTTCACACGTACAAGCTCTTCGGCAGAGAAGAGAGACCGAGCACCCACGGAAGACTGTATATTCCAACGAAGAACTGGCTGTTCATGCATACATGCAAAAACTTGCATGGGAAGTGGTGTGTAGCGATCCCCTCAATGTCCCCTAAAAACATGCTACCAGTTGCACCACCAATAAGCTCAAAATTCTGAGTTCTTTCCCACGTTAGTGCGCGTTGATAACCGCGAGGCTGACCTTGCAAGCCAGCTTGCATTGCTCATGCTCCATTCGTCCGTTCCTTGAGCTGGCCATGTCTTCATTGGTCAGGTGAAAGGCACGGACGGTCTCCTTCAGAAGTTGCCTCGGTAACTGAGCAACAGGGGAAAAAAAATTTAAATTGGGGTCAGCGTTAAGTAGTGCTAAAAAACAAATCTGAGCAAATTCTTTGGAAGAGTTCCGAGTAGATATTGTAAGGCCAACGGAAAGATGTGGAGGCCAGCTTTGAGGTTGCCTGACCTGTTTCTGAACTTTCTCCCACGACGCCAGCATGTGGTTCATCAGCACGCTGGACTGCAACAGGTGCGTGTCGTACATCTGACGCCACTTGCTGAAGCAGTGGTGGTCGGTACTGAGGCAGATGATCAGGGTGTTCAGCAGCTGAAACACGAGAGGCCGGGGAAAAAAAGGAAGTTTGCGGACAAACTTTAATCAATGGAAAATTCCGCACTTGTTGACTTTAAGGCCCATGCCAGGCTTATATTGTGGACTTTGTGTTCATTGGTGACAAATGGACAGATATTATGGACACAAAACCAGGTTCCCTGTGGTTGGCCTAGATTTGTGCACATTCGAACGAAAGTTCATCGTGCACGTGTCACATAATATCCAGGGGAAGTAGTACTGCGTGTGGTATGTCCCCCTCATAAGCCATGTGCCTGAACAAGGGTTGGTACATTTTTACAGAGCAATGATGTCGCACGTGGGGGTTTGTGTACACGTGAAACGCCTCAATGAATACGCATGTTCAGTGAGGCGGCCGGTAGATGGGTTAGCGTAAGACTTTTCTCTGTGCTTATGCCCCTGGTGCAAATCCCACACAAGGAGCTCCTACCTCATTCTTCATTTGCTCTGGACAGTTCACTGTCGTTCTCGCCAACAGTGATGGAAAGAAGTGGCGTAAGGTTGTCTCTGGATGAGTTCCAAAGGCTATGCTCTAGGTCACAAGTATGAAACAGAAACTTCTGTGATGAAGAAGGAGCAACTTTTAAGATACTCAGAGCAGATTTTTTGAAAGTGAGATTATGAGAAAAAAACACAACAAACGGGAGAAAAATCAGTAAACCATGACTACTTTATCAGATAGCAAGGGTAGTAAACTGATTTTACATATTGCTCATAAGTACAATGTATTTGGTTGAACCAGAGAAGTCAGAATGGAATTCGGCCTCCTGGTTTGACACTTGCTTATGCTGCTTGAGTTGTGTCTAGTACCAAGAAGACAGTCCTCCACAAATAGTGCTGAACACACTGGATTTCAGGATTCAAAGCCTCCTTTCTATAGTTTTCACGGTTCAGCCCAAGTGCTCTCTTTAGATGAAGCAAACTTGTCTCATGTTTTCCGTTTCCTTATTTTGAAATCGATAAAGCCCAGCTGACTTTTTTACCAAAAAAAGAAGCAAAGGTACCTTCAGTTTGGAATAGTGCTTCAAGAGTTGTTTCTGTAATCTATGAAGGAGAAATAAAGGCAAACGTGTTTAGTTCACAGCTACAATGTGTACTGACAACAGACTCCCACACATATGCAGCTTGAAGCAGTTTTTCCGTTAAGTTTATTCATTAACCCTTCACTAAGGAGGACTGCTACTACTGCAGCATTGTGTGAGGATTAGTGCATACCACACATAC